CAGGTGGAACTCTGTGAGTTTGAGGCCAGCCTGGTCTATAGAGCAAGTGCTAGGACAGCCATGGCTACACAGTGAAAAAAACCACCACCACCACCACCACCAAAAACCCAACCTAACAAACAAAACCAAACCAAACAAGAAGAGCACCTGTCCTTCAAAGGCTGCCCTTCCACCCACCTCATAATAAAGCTGCAGGCATCTTCAGGTTTGGTGAATGCTCTCCACTGTGCAGTTGGGATTCCATGTCGCTCCATAAATTCTTTGGCAAACTTTTTACTGGACTCTAACTGAGCTGCTTGTGCTGTGGGGCCAAAGCATCGTACTCCTGCACAGGTCAGGTCCCCAACAATCCCTACAGAAGCAAACAAATCCAGGTGATTCATGGTCTGTCTAGGGATTTATACTGAACATGAATTATGATTAAATGTATATTTAGTCAAGGAGCAGGCGAACTAGAAGTTATAATAGCTTAAGATTTTCATGCCGTCTTTTATTTACTAGCAGAATATCACTAAGAGGAGATTCTAGGCATGCAAAAAGAGGAGTGCAATGTGGCATCAGAGCCCCAGCTACCAAAGAGGATGAGGTAGGAGCCCACAAACTGTAGATCAACTTGATTACTATAACTAGACCTCATTTCAAAACAAAACATCCAGACAAACAAAAAAGACCTAGCAAAAAGTGAATTGTTCTATGTGAATATCTGGATTTGTCTGATTGAATATAGAACACTAAAGACACTAGAATAGAGTAGGAGAAATACAGGATTTGATCCCTATTTCATTTTATTATTGAAGGCTGGGAGTAAAAGCAAAACCTGGAACCCACCAACTTTCAGGAGCTGAAAGATCCTCGTCTATTGTACTATTAGGAATCCCTACCCACACCTGGATCCAGTGCTCTCTAAACTTCTAATGGCAGCGAGCATGCAGTAACCCTGAGACATGAACTTTACCTGCAGCCAGAGGGGCCTCTGGTCCAACCACCACAAACTCGATCTTCTCATCTTTGCAGAACTGAGCAAGGACAGCGTGATCATTGACGGAGACAGCTGTGAACAGAAAACATAAACCCACACATGTGCAGAAATATCTTCAGCTAACCAAATAAAACAAGTACCATTCTTAGTACGGAAATTAAAAACTAAAATCGTTGGTTTTGCTTTTGTGGGTACAGTGAGTAATTTTCACCATGAGATATTCCAAATAATGCATTAGGTTAAACAAAGCTCAGTATCCTACCATCACTGCAGCCAGTTCAGTGACTCCCCAACACCAACAATGCGACTGTTCTTGTCACCAGTGTTGATTACACAGTAAACAGACAAACCCAGAGAATGTACTCAGGAACTCTTTCAAACATAACACATAAAATGCCTTTAACCTACACGGGGCACTTGCTATCTTTTCAGTCACAGTGGTTCATAAGGCTTAAAATACACTTATGTTTACCACACAAAGGTAGAATTCATGTTACATTTTAAACAGAAATCTACCTTATTTTAGATATGTGAGCTATCACTTATTATCAACAAATATTAACCACCACCGCCTATTCTGAAACATAATTACCAGCGTTTGAGATCTTTCCAGAACAGGCAGTGCCTGCATTTCCAGGGGCAACCAACACTTGTTTGACATGAAGAGACTGTGCAAGTTTCCAGGCCAGAGTATGTTCCCTTCCTCCACTGCCAATCACAAGAACTCGGGCTGCCATTGCCGTCTTCAAAGCAGGGATTCAGGAGCAAAATAAAGCCTGTAGAAAGAAAACCACAGTTGACATTTTAAAATGCATATATTTTAGAAAACACAATTTTTCTTTTTTGGTGGTGTTTTATTTTGTTATCTTTTCTGTGTGCCAGGGTTTTGCCTGCATGTGCAGCATGAATAATACAAAACCAGAGACATAAATTGGGGATCAACCAGAAAAGCAATGCAGCCAAACCACTAGAGAAATCTTACTTCCGCCAAGGCTGGGCTATCATAAACTAAGCCTCTCTCTCCTCCCATTTTATATTTCCTGTATGGCTGGGATTAAAGGTGTTTAATCCACCAATGTTTCTGCACTGATCTTCTGTAGCCCAGAGTGGCCTTTGAATTCATAGAGATCCATCTGCCTGGCCTTCCAAATTCTAGGATTAAAGGTGTGTATCACCATGTACGTATGTCTGTGTATTACAGGTGTGCCTGGTGTCCACAGAGAGCAGAAGGGGTTGTTGGACCCCCTGGTACTGGTATTTGGGTGGTTGTGAACCACTATGTGGATGCTGGTAATTGAACCCCAGTCTTCTGGAAGAGTAGCAAGTCTCTTAACTGCTCAGCCATGTCGTTAGTCATTCTTTGTTTTTGAGAAAGTCACACTATGTTGCTCAAGCTAACCTCAAACTCACGGTAAACGTTTGGTCTTAGCCAACTTCCAAGTGTTGGGAATATAGGCAGGTACACCTGGCTATAGAAATAATACTTTATAAATGGCATTTTAACATAATCACGTTTTCATACAAGTCACATTTTCACCCAGAGGTCCATTCTTTAGAAACTGGGATTTATAGCAGGACATGGTGGCTCCCACTTACTCCCAGGACTCAGGTGGCAGAGGCAGTCAGATGACTGTTCCTGGCCAGCCAGGATGCACAGTAAGACCCTACCTCAGTGAACAAAACAAGAGCTAGAGAGATGGCCCAGGCTGCTCTTCCAGAGGACCTGGGTCCAATTCCTAGCATACACAAGGTGGCTAACAACTATCTGTACTTTCAGACCCTGGGGACCCAACCACCTTCACTGGCGTCCTTAGGCACAAGGTACACATGTGGTAAACAAGCATGTAGGTAAAACACCCAACAAAAACAAAGCCCTTGAAACTTGGAGGTTAGACTTGGAAACAAATAACCATAATGAGGCAGACACGCTTATAGTTAGGTTCAGGAAAGAATGGCAGTTCAGCTCTTGCTAGGCTGAGCGCCCTCCCAGCTTCATGTGCTATACTTAATACATATTGTGAGGTATTAGTGGAAACAATGTAACTAACGTATTTAGAGATGGTGTTCCTGGGGAATGACTAGGTTTAGGTAAGGGCACTAGGGTGGGGCACCCATGATTAAATGGAAGAAGGTTTTTAAGATAGTGTCTCACTATGGAGTCCTGGTTGACCCACAATTCAGACACATTGCTACTGCTGCCTCTGGAGTGAGTCCTAAGATTTTTTTTTTTTGAATAAGAGGGACAGAGATCAAACAAATGCAAGCATGCACGCCATATCTTATGAACCTAAGCTGTTTTCACATAATGCTGCTATGAACACAGCTGAGCAAATGTCTTTGTGGTATGAGTGTGTATCCTTTGGGTATATGCCCAAGAATGGTATTGCTGGGTCCTGACGTAGATTGATGCCTAATTTTCTAAGAGAAAGCGGGAGGAGAGGAGGGAATGAGAACTGGGATTGGTATGTAAAATGAGAAAAGATTGTTTTTTAAAAAAACAAACCAAGATAAACATTAAAATATCGTATACTACAAAGTACCCAGAAATAAAAATGCTAATTTGTTATACGACTTTGCTTACCTAAACTGATACCTCAGGTATAAACAATTTATCAAGTCATTGCACAAACAGAAGCAACAACAATAACAAAGGTGGAGTTTAGCAATAGTTTTTGCTTAGAATAAAGCCTTGCGAACCTTGCAGTAGTCACTCACACCTTTAATCCCAGCACTCTGGAGGCAGAGGCAGGTCTATCTCTGGGAGTTCAAGGACAGCCAGGGCTAAACAGATAATCCCTGTCTCAAAAAAAAAAAAGCCTTGTGTTCAAATTCTAGCACCAAACACGGGTGTGTGTGCAAAGAAATTATTAAGGCATTTACCTAAGCAGAGGATGGCTACAGGAAAAAGGAAACTGTTGTTTGTAAATTCTAAATAGACACTTTAGTTTGGGATCACATATTTAAAGTAAAATCAAACAGTCTGGTGAGTGGCTCATCAGTTAAGAGCACTTAGAACTCTTGCAGAAGACTGGGGTTTAATCTCCATCACCTACATGGTGACTCACAAACATCCTAACCCTGGTTCCACAGATGGAACGCCTTTTTCCGGCTTCTTGGGTCACTGCAAGCACGTGGGGCATGGGAAAGACATCTACACGTAAAGGAAGGCTTTTCCTTCAATTCTATCTGTCATTGTCTTAGAAATAGCTGAAGACTATATATATATATATCTCAAACTTATGTATAGTTTGACTATGAGCAGGATAGCAAGAAGACAATTTTCATTTACTACTCAGAATCTGTGAAACAGTACTGCTCCCTACATCAGGAGGGGCTGGGGGCCTGGGCTCCGGAGTCTAAGGGCCTTACTCCCTGGGAGACCTGGAGAAAATTTTCTTGGGCGTCAGTTAATCAGTAGGCAGCTTATGGTGAAAGTAAGAGTCAGGTAAAGAGAGAATAGAAGAACCGGGTAAAAACATCCCCAAAGATTTGTCAGAAAAGTAGAAACCAAACACTAAAGTGGTCCAGCTAAACCGTTATTGACAAAGATAAAACCCACCGATGTACAGGTCTGTCTTTAAAAGGCACAGATACACGGAAACCTGGCCACATCTCAGAACCAGAAAGCGGGAAAGGAGATCAAGGCCGACCTCGTTCGAGGCCGTGCAGACCACATGACTCTTTCCGCCAGCTAACCAGTCTCGATAGCAGCACCACTCGCTGAACTTAAATCCACAAGCCAAAGCATAAACGCAGGCCACGCACCGGCTTAAAAACAGAGGGGTTCACGCACCTGCAAGCCCCGCCACGCTGCCGCCGCACGCACCCGCCGGAAGCTGGCCCGGGAAATCCGGCGCGCGCCGGCCTCTGCCCCGCCCCTGGCGGGCTCCACCGCCCATTGGCCGGCCGTGCTCGGTCTCCGCCCGCGAGGCCGTCCGCGGGGTTCCTCCCGCCCTAGGGTGCGGTCCGAGCCCGCTGCCCCGCCGGCTTTACCGTCCCCGGTACCACGCTTCTGGCTGACACTTGTCAGGGGGTGCCACGTAAGGTCGCCAGGTCTCCCCCGGGGCCTCCTGCTCTGGGGACGGAGCCCCGGCCGCCTACTCGTGGCTGCTGCTAGTCGGGCGCCGGGGCGGACGGCGGGGCCGGGCTCCGGACGAGCCCCAGGGCGTCCAGCTTAGAACGCAGCTCGCTGACGCCCCGGCCTTTCCTAAACAGTCCGTGAGGCCGGGTCTAGGAGGTAACGAGGTAGCCTGGGCACTGTCCCTAGCCGCTCCCTGTGGGGCCCGGGATGAGGATTCCTTTCTCATGCTCGTCTTCCCGACCAAAGTAAACTTGGCGCTTGCACCAAACGCGTTAAAGCTCCGTGCCGACACCCGCCCTTCCCTTGTTTTTATTGTGTCTGTTCCCTGTCTTTATGGCCTCTAATCTCGGGCATTTACTCGCTACAGGGAGCCTCTTAGGAAAGTCCCCGCGGGCTGAGGGGACCAACTGCTGAAGCTGGCACGGTCGTCTCGGGAGCGACTTCTCCTGTAATGGCGCCTGCGTCAAACACTAACATGGCGGACTAGTTCGTGCGCGGCGCAAACGTCAGCACCTCTACCCCAGCGGCTCAGAAACAGCGGAGGAGAGCGGGGCCGTGCTCGCTGATTGGCTCGTGGGTGGAGCGTGCCCGGCCGGACGCTCCCCTGACAGCCAATAAGGAAAGGGATAAAAGGAATTGGCCGCTGCGCCTCCTCCAGATGCATGCTGGGAGCCTGGAGGACTAGCGAGGAGGAGTTGAGAGAACGGAGCGGACGCCATGGCGGCCGACATCGAGCAGGTTTTTAGGTCTTTCGTGGTCAGTAAATTCCGGGAAATACAACAGGAGCTTTCCAGGTAAACTCTCCCCCGACTTTTCTGGTCCTCGCAGGCGGTTAGGGCCTCGTCCATCCTCCCGTGGCCTCTTTCCCGGAGACGCCGTCGTTTCTCGGCTCAGGCCCCGCTACGGCCCCGCCTGGGCCTGGGATCCATTTTCCGGGCCATCCCCCCGATCTTCCGTTCGTTCCTTTCGGGGAAGATCGCCCCTCCCGCGGTGTTCTCACACGCCATTTCTTTCTTCGGGTTCAGAAGTCCACCTTTCTCTGGGTTGGACACCCCCTACCCTTCAGCTACTCGGAGGCCCAGTGTTCACCAGGGACGGGCCTAGTTCCTTCCCCAGCTCCTCCTCCGCCGCCGCCTCTCCCCTCCCCCTCCCCGCCTCCGCGCATTTCGCCGGCCGGTGTCTATGGCCGGAAAGGGTCTCTAACGGCCGCTCCTTGGGTAATCTTAAAACTTCTTTATTATTGTACGCTTCAGATCGTTTGGCGACCGGAGTCTATTTATTAGACTATTCGGGCCCCAGTTAGTGCTCTGTGCTTTGGGTCGGATAGCACTCTTTTAAGAGTTGTATGTAAACTAAAACATCTCAATTCAGTATAAGACCCATGAGAAAATACTCGACAAAGCGATGGAAGGGGGGCTTTGAAACTAGTGATTGCTTAATCTTATTAAGTAGGAGGTGGACTATGTGAACAGATTTGAAGAACATCGAGCTGTTTTCGTCACTGCTAGTAGACTTCAGAGATTAGCTTTGGTTCCCAAAATTTCAAGTGTAAGAAATTCCCGAAGTTGTTTACTCCGGAAAAGAGTGCGTGTTTTGTTAAATGGCTTTCATTTAGTAGTTTGTTTTGTATAAGATAACCATTTCTTTAAAATACCGTAAGAAAGAATTTTTGAAAAGTGAATGTCCCGACTTAAAAATGTTCTTAGGAATGGTGTAAGTTGAGAACAGGAATATGTGAATTAGAAAATCAACTGATAAGCAGTTGTAAATTATATCCCCAAATTAGCTAGGGTTATTGGTGCATATGGGGTTATTTTATTGCTGATATTTCTTTTTTTCATGTTGTGATATTTATAATTTTTTCGTTTTTTTCCCCCTCTTTCTTGTGGACAGGCTCTAATGTCACTGCTTACAGCCTTGTCATGTAGTTGAAACCGGCCTCCCACTCATCACCTCCCAAGTGATGGGTGGGATCACAGGCTTGAGCTACGACCACGTGCCTGAAGTTTTTTGGTTTTTGGCTTTTTTTTTTTTTTTTTTTTTTTTTTTTGAGACAGGGTTTCTCTGTGTAGATGACTGTCCTGGATCTTGCCCTGTAGACCAGGCTGGCCTTGAACTCAGAGATTCACCAGCCTCTGCCTCCTAAGTGCTGACATTAAAGATGTGTGCCCCCACTGCCTGGCTTTTTTTTTAAAAGTAGGAATATTTATATAGTTTGTGTGTGTATACATATTCATATGTATATATTCCCACTATGTTGCTTTTTAACATTTTGAGGCATAGGCAAGGTTTTTTTTGGTGGTTATTTATTTATTTATTTTTTTATGAGTTGAAACATACACTAAGGGAATATAATTTTCCTGGAATTTCTTGCTGTTTTGAGGGTCTTACTATGTAGCTTTGGCTGATCCAGAACTCATTCTGTAGATCAGGATGGCTTTGAATTTACAGGGATTCACATGCCTCTGCTCCCAAGTGCTGGGATTAAAGGTGTGTGCCACCCCCACTACACATCTCTTTAATGTGATCATTTTGTCTTGTGTGTTTTAGACATATGTTCTTTGAAGCCTTGATAATTTAAACATTTTTCATAACTATGTAAATTCCTTTTAGGACATGTTGTTGGGGAGCAAAGTGGTTTGAAATTCTAATTGCTTTTCAGTAAATGTAATTAACACGCAGGTAGCTTTCAGAAGAAATGGCCTGGACGGTAGTGGCACACACCTTTAATCCCAGCGCTTGGGAGGCAGAGGCAGGCAGATCTCTCAGTTTGAGGCCAGCCTGGTCTACAGAGCTAGTTCTAGGACAGCTAGGACTATACAGATAAACCCTGTCTTGAAAAACAATGAATTTTAGGTGGAGGGACCTTTTTCCAACAGACCTACCTACCTTCCTCTGACTCACAGTGGCTGAGTTGCCACCATGCACAGCCCTTTAATTCTAGTGGTGTGGAGGCAGTCCGAAAGATCCTTGTGAGTTGGTCTAAACTAGTGAGTTCCAGGCCAGACAGAATAGAAGACCCAGCCTTCAAAAAATAACAAGATAAGTATGTATAAATGCTCAGAGAAGCTGTAAAGTAATTGTTTTATAAAGTCTGCAGTGAGCATTAGAAAAATAGCATGCTTTAGGACGTGATCAGTCTAAGACATTTTCTTTTTGCTTTGCCAATTCAGTAAGCTATGTTTCCTCCAAGTGCTTATATATTCATCAGTATAGATAGTAAGCCTAACATTTAGATGGCTAAATAACGCAATTTATTGTATAAAGATATATTTCTTTCATTTTTAGTAACAGAATAACAGTCCTGATTGTAGAGTTTTATTAAAATTATATGATTTTTAAAAAAAATTAGGTGGCAGGCCAGATGTGGCGCATGCACTCAGTTCCAACAGTTAGACAGAGGTGAGCAAGGCCAGGGCTACATAGACCTTTGTCTTAAAAACAAAATAACAAAAAATGGCACTTGTTAGTACTTATAAATGTTTTTTTATTAGACTAGCAAGGTTTACTGTGTTAGAAAAACAGTCATTCCTCACTAAAGTCATTAGTTTCTTTAATGAAATTGTTATCAGGTAGTTGTTTTATGTGTATTCAGTTAGTAAAACTCTAGTTGAAACTGAATTAATTTTTTTGCAAGTTTACACAAAAATAGTAAAAATGTTTACATGAATGACCTTGTTTTATCTATAGTAACATTCTTTTGGCTCCGTGATCTAGAAATAGGTTGAGCCATTTACCATTTTACTGGTAGTATAAACTTGTTCTTTGTAAACTTCTTGAATTCCAGAAATTGTTTAGGTACAGAATTTTTAATAGGTATAAGTTACTAGATGCAATTTTCTTTTTAAATTTAAAGGCATTTCACTTGAAGTCTGAAGCTGAGGAGAGGCTACAAGTAACCTCTACCCAGTGTCTTCATTGACTGGTTGTGGTCAGTGCACAGGGGTGGGTCTTTTGTGGCCACACTTTCTACCATACCATAATGTTGGATCATCTATTTTTCCTTGTGTATTGGCTCATTAATATTTAGGTAACTGGAACCAGGCAGTGGTGGTGCACACCTTTAATTCATTCCAACACTCAGGAGGCAGAGGCAGGCGGATCTCTGTGAGTTCGAGGCTAGCCTGGTCTACAAGAACTAGCTCCAGGACAGTTAGAACTGTTATACAGAGAAATTCTTGTCTTGAAAAATTAAAAAACAAAGCACTGCTTCCCCCACCCCCCCAAAAAAGACCTTAGGTAATTGAAAGCTTTAAGTTTATTTTTTAAACTCCCTTCGAAATCAGATTTTAAGGAATTTTTCTATCACAGTTCTGAAAACTTTGTGTAAAAATAAAAGCACTCCATTTGAGTGTATAGTGTTACAGAAGAATTACTAAAGGCAAACTATGGACTAGAACACTGAGATGTGTGGGCAATGTAATATAAGATTATGTTAATTAGGTTATTAATGTTGAATTATCATGGTGTGATACAAGTATTAATGAAGATTGAAAATTTTTCTTGTCAAGCGGAAGGAGTGAAGGCCAGCTGAATGGTGAAACAAATGCACCCATTGAAGGAAGCCAGACAGGTGACCCAGCTGCCTCTGCAAGGAGTCTCCCAAATGAAGAAATAGTACAGAAGATAGAAGAAGTCCTTTCTGGGGTCTTAGACACAGAACTACGATATAAAACAGGTAAGTTGAGGATAACTGTCAAAAGTCTTTTAAAAATTTCGAATGTCCACAGCACTGTCTTTGGGTTAATTTTTTTTTATGGTGTCTTGAACTCCTCCTTTGAAAACAGTTATATTCAAGCATGAACACTGGGGCACTTCCTTGATTTACTGGCAAAATAAGGTTTTTTTAATATCTATTTAATTCAGTTTTGTTGTGACTAAATGGCAGGATTCTTTATGTGTGTCTTTGAAGGATTTTATTAATATCAGCTCTTTTAAATGTAGCTTTTGGTGTCTTCTTTTTATTTTTGTTTTGCATGTATGAATGCTGGAGTGTATGGATGTATACCTTGTGTGACTGGTGCCTGAGGAAGGCACGGGGAGAGGGTATTAGAGCCTATGTAATTGGAGTTGAGACAGCTGTGAGCCACCAAGTGGCTGCTGAGAACTGATCAGGATCCTTTGCAGGAGCAGTGCAATCTCTTAAACACATTGTTCTAGCCCCCAAGTGTCAATTTTGTAAAGTGCCAGAGCCTGAACTAAATTTTTAGTGGTTTTTAAAACACCAGATTTTGTTTTAAATCACGTGCTTAGAAGTTGACTTGTGCCAGGTGGGTGGTGGTGCATCCCTTTAATCCCAACACTTGGGAGGCAGAGGCAGGCTGATCTGAGTTCAAGGCCAGCCTGCTCTGCAGAAGGATTTCCAGGAGGACAGCCAAGTGTACACAGAGAAACCATGTCTCGAAAAACAAAACAAAAAAGAAGTTGACTTGTTTGTACAAGCAAGTTGAAACACAGTCATTGCATAGTATTTCCTTTTTGGAACTGATTAAATAATGGGTGCTTAAAAATGAAGAATTTGGGGCTGGAGAGGTGGCTGAGCATTTAGAGCACTGACTGTTCTTCCAGAGGTTCCAGGTTCAATTTCCAACACCCATGTGGCAGCTCACTACTGTCTGTAACTCCAGGGTCCTACTCCCTCTCACAGATATACATACAGACAAACACCAATAAAATAAAAATAAATAAAAAAAGAATTTGTGATTAACCACAGAAGTATAGGAATTAGGTGTGTGGTATGGTTCTCTCTGATACACATATTATAATAGCAAGTCTTGCATAGATCATAGATAGTCTTGGCAATCTTGTTTAGGTAAAAACTATGATTTTATGCTTATGTGAAATAAGCAATAGAAAATTATTAATTTTCTTTTGATATGGTGTCTGGTGTTGGTATTTTTTTCCTTCTGTGCTAGGAATCCCTGGTATATTTGATTAACATTTTCTTAAGATTTGTCAAATTTTAAGCTGAGTAGGTGCTATATCACTTGTATAAATGATGGCTAATGAAACGTTAGTAGAAGTTATTTGAATGAGAGCAATTTTATCTTTGGACATTAGTCTCTTAGTAGTTCTGTAATTGGAATTTTTTTTAATCTTAAATAGGAATTGAAACTAAATATGAAGTAAACTCATTGACATAGTTGTAAAAACTTCTGTAATTTAAGAACAAAGTTTTTTTTTGGGGGGGGCGAGGATTTTTTTTTTTTTTTTTTGAGACAGGGCCTCCTCACTTTGTAATTCTGACTGGCCTAGAGTTTTGTAAGCCGTACTGGCCTTGAACTCACAGAGACCTGCCAGCTTCTGTCTATAGAATGTTGGTATTAAAGGCATGCACTGTCATACCCAACCTAAGAAAAGAATGGTTTTCAAAATATTGTGTATTTCTGGATAGCTATCTATGCATGTACACATACATGTGTGTGTATGTGGACTGTCTTATTTGTGGAAATCACTTAATTTGTGGAGTTGGTTTTCTTCTACCATATGGGCCATCAGGTTTGCCTGAAAACATTTTTACACACTGAGCTGTCTCATTGACCCTGAGGAAAACAAATTAACCTTAGATTTTTAGTGAAATACTGTCCCATCCTCCCCCACCAGGGGTGAAAATTGAAGCCAGGGCTCTGCACATGTTTAGCTAATACTCTGACCTGAGCTATGTCCTGCCTTAAAACATAATTTCCTTCTAAATAGGTTTTTGTGTTAGACCAAGAATTTATCTTGAAGATTTTAGTTTTATAAATCCTGGAGAAATGGCAGCCTTCAGGCTTATTGGTCAAGAGTTAATAGGTTATTTTGTAAATTTTTATTTACAATATGATTAATTATATAGTGATTTCTATATGTAAATGAAAATAGTGGCAATTTGTATGAATCTACATTGGGGAATGACTCACAAGTTTTCATTACTTTCAGACTTGAAGGAAGCCTCCAGAAAAAGTAGATGTGTATCTGTACAAACAGATCCTACTGATGAAGTTCCTACCAAAAAGTCAAAGAAGCATAAAAAGCACAAAAACAAAAAGAAGAAAAAGAAGAAAGAAAAGGAAAAAAAATATAAAAATCAACCAGAAGAAGCTGAGGCCAAGCTGAAATCTCATCGTGACAGGAATGTTGATCTAGAGTCTGATTCCTTTTTAAAGTTTGATTCTGAACCTTCAGCAGCAATGGCACTGGAACATCCTGTAAGAGTATTTGGCTTATCTGAGGCACGTGAAACCCCTTTAGTGCTAGAACCTCCAATAGGATCAGTGGAAGCTCAGGAGTCACACGTTTTAGAGACTCTGAAGCCTCCTACAAAAACTGCAGAACTGTCTGTTGGATCTACATCAGTAATCTCAGAGCAACCTGAGCAGCCTGTGTCAGTTACGATGGAACCCTCAACGACCAAGAGTCTGGATTCCTTTGCAGCAGCACCAGTGCCTATGTCAACAGCAGTGCTGAAGTCACCTGAGCCCGTTGTAACAATGTCAGTGGAGTATCAGAAGTCTGTGCTGAAATCTTTGGAGACTACGCCTCCAGAGATATCAAAGACCACGCTGGTAGAGCTTCCCATAGCAAAAGTGCTTGAGCCACCAGAAACCCTCATGATAGTATCAGAGATACCTACTGAGGTGCACCCTGAACCAAGCCCATCAACAATGGATTTTCCAGAGTCATCTACAACTGATGCACTAAGATTGCCAGAGCAGCCTGTAGAAGCACCGTCGGAGATTGCAGATTCATCCGTGACAAGACCTCAGGAGTCAGTGGAGCAGCCTAAGACCACAGCGGTGGAGCTGCAGGAGTCGTCGGTGGCCTCAGCCCTGGAGTTGCCGGGGCCACCTGCGACCTCCATGATGGAGTTGCAGGGGCCCCCTGTGACTCCAGTGCTGGAGTTGCCTGGGCCCTCTGCCACCCCGGTGGCAGAGTTGTCAGGGCCCCTTTCCACCCCAGTGCCTGAGTTGCCAGGGCCCCCTGCGACAGTAGTGCCTGAGTTGCCGGGGCCCTCTGTGACACCAGTGCCACAGTTGTTGCAGGAATTGCCAGGGCCTCCAGCACCATCCGTGGGGTTGGAGCCACCACAGGAGGTACCAGAGCCGCCTGTGATGGCACAGGAGTTGCCAGGGGTGCCTGCAGTGTCAGCGGCAATGGAGTTGACAGGGCAGCCTGCAGTAACAGTAGCAATGGAGTTGACCGAACAACCTGTGACGACGACAGAGTTCGAGCAGCCCGTGGCGATGACATCGGTGGAACATCCTGAGGTGACAACAGCAACAGGGTTGCTGGGGCAGCCGGAGGCAATGGTGCTGGAGTTGCCAGGACAACCAGTGGCAACCACAGCTCTGGAGTTGTCTGGGCAGCCTTCAGTGACTGGGGTGCCAGAGTTGTCAGGGCTGCCTTCGGCAACTAGGGCACTGGAGTTGTCAGGGCAGCCTGTGGCAACTGGGGCACTGGAGTTGCCTGGGCAGCTCATGGCAACTGGGGCACTGGAGTTCTCAGGGCAGTCTGGGGCAGCTGGAGCCCTGGAGCTTTTGGGGCAGCCCCTGGCAACAGGGGTGCTGGAGTTACCAGGGCAGCCTGGGGCGCCAGAGTTGCCTGGGCAGCCCGTGGCAACTGTGGCGCTGGAGATCTCTGTTCAGTCTGTGGTGACAACATCGGAGCTGTCAACGATGACCGTGTCGCAGTCTCTGGAGGTGCCCTCGACGACAGCGCTGGAATCCTATAATACGGTAGCACAGGAGCTGCCTTCTACATTGGTGGGGGAGACTTCTGTAACAGTAGGAGTGGATCCCTTGATGGCCCAAGAATCCCATATGTTAGCTTCTAACACCATGGATACCCATATGTTAGCATCCAACACCATGGACTCCCAAATGCTAGCATCCAACACTATGGATTCTCAGATGCTAGCATCTAATACCATGGATTCGCAGATGTTAGCATCTAGCACCATGGACTCCCAGATGTTAGCCTCTAGCACAATGGACTCCCAGATGTTAGCAACTAGCTCCATGGACTCCCAGATGTTAGCAACCAGCAGTATGGACTCCCAGATGTTAGCAACCAGTTCCATGGATTCCCAGATGTTAGCAACCAGCAGTATGGATTCCCAGATGTTAGCAACCAGCTCCATGGACTCCCAGATGTTAGCGACCAGCAGTATGGACTCCCAGATGTTAGCGACCAGCAGTATGGACTCTCAGATGTTAGCGACCAGCAGTATGGACTCCCAGATGTTAGCAACCAGTTCCATGGACTCCCAAATGTTAGCATCTGGTGCTATGGATTCTCAAATGCTAGCTTCCGGCACCATGGATGCTCAGATGTTAGCATCTGGTACTATGGATGCCCAAATGTTAGCATCTAGTACCCAGGATTCTGCTATGATGGGTTCAAAATCTCCTGATCCTTACAGGTTAGCTCAGGATCCTTACAGATTAGCTCAGGATCCCTATAGGTTGGGTCATGACCCCTATAGGTTAGGGCATGATGCTTACCGGTTAGGACAGGACCCCTATAGGTTAGGCCATGATCCCTACAGACTAACTCCTGATCCCTATAGGATGTCACCCAGACCGTACAGAATAGCACCCAGGTCCTATAGAATAGCACCTAGGCCATACAGATTAGCACCCAGACCCTTGATGTTAGCATCTAGACGTTCTATGATGATGTCCTATGCTGCAGAACGTTCCATGATGTCATCTTATGAGCGCTCTATGATGTCTTACGAACGCTCCATGATGTCGCCCATGGCTGAGCGCTCTATGATGTCAGCCTATGAACGCTCTATGATGTCAGCTTATGAGCGCTCCATGATGTCACCTATGGCTGAGCGCTCTATGATGTCAGCTTATGAACGCTCTATGATGTCAGCTTACGAACGCTCCATGATGTCCCCTATGGCTGATCGATCTATGATGTCCATGGGTGCTGACCGGTCCATGATGTCATCGTACTCTGCAGCTGACCGATCTATGATGTCATCATACTCTGCAGCTGACCGATCTATGATGTCATCTTACACTGATCGATCAATGATGTCTATGGCAGCTGATTCTTATACTGATTCTTACACTGATTCCTATACGGAGGCATATATGGTGCCTCCTTTGCCTCCTGAAGAGCCCCCAACAATGCCACCATTACCACCTGAGGAACCACCAATGACGCCACCATTGCCTCCTGAGGAACCACCAGAGGGTCCGGCATTATCCGGTGAACAGTCGGTATTAACAGCTGAGAATACTTGGTCTACAGAGGTGACATTACCTACTGAAGAATCTGTATCACAGCCTGAGCCTCCTGTGAGTCAAAGTGAGATTTCAGAGCCTTTGGCAGTACCTGCTAATTATTCAGTATCAGAATCTGAGACTTCAATGTTAGCATCAGAGGCTATTATGACTGTTCCAGAACCTGCACAGGAGCCAGAGTCTTCAGTCATATCAACACCAGTTGACTCTGCTGTTGTAGCAGAACATGAAATGGTTACTGAGAGACCAGTGACTTACATGGTTTCTGAGGCTACCATATCAGCTGAACAAACTGTGCTATCAGAGCCTTCTGTTATGTCGGAGACATCGGAAACATATGATTCCATGAGACCATCAGGACATGCTATTTCAGAGGTATCTATGTCCCTCCTGGAGCCAGCAGTAACTATTTCACAGCCAGCAGAGAGCAGTCTGGAGCTTCCGTCCATGGCTGTCCCAGCACCTCCCACTATGACTACCCCAGAATCTCCTGCTGTTGCTGTCCCAGAACTTTCAGCTGTGGCCAGCCAAGAACTTGCCATTATGGTTGTTCCAGAAACCCCCACTGTGGCTGTCTCAGAACCTCCTGCTGTGACTGCCCCAGACCCTTCTGCTATGACTACTCCAGAACTTTCCTCCATGCCTGTCTTAGAACCTCCTGTGGCTGTCCCAGAGGTTCCAGCTTTGGCTGACCCAGAGCATGCTACAACTGCAGGATCAGGTGGTTCTTCCCTGGAGCCTTCTGTGCCTGTCTTGGAACCAGCGGTATCAGTCGTTCAACCTGTTATGGTTGTTTCAGAACCATGTGTTCCTGTCCAGGAACCTACTGTGGCCATTTCAGAACCTGCTGTCACAGTTTCAGAGCATAGTCAAGTAATATCCCCGGAGATGGCTTTAGAGCCTTCACCACCAATAGGGGAGTCCAGTGTTTTTTCATCACATGTCATAAAAGAAAGGAATTTACTTTCTGGTGATCAAAGTTTTGGTCCAGAGGTTGGCATGCAGGAGATTCTGTTGCATTCAGGTGAAGAGCCACATGATGGAGGGCACTTGAAAAGTGACTTGTATGAAAATGAATATGACAGAAATACAGACCTTACTATAAATAGTCATTTAATTGCTAAAGATGATACAGTGTGTTCCGCTGCCATTGGTTCTGTTGGTGAAGCAAGTGAAGAGAAAATCATGCCTGTTGAGGCTAAGGAAGTCACAGAATTGGATACCTGTCCTGCTGTCAGTGAAGCTGATGCGGGAAGAAGCCTATCTTCTCAACTAGCTCTGGAACCAGATACAACGGGAACTAGTAAGGGGTTGGACTTTGTTACAGCATCTGTTCCCAGTTTAGATTATAAATATGATGGTGATGTATCTTTAACCACTCAAGATACTGAACATGACATGGTAATTTCCACCAGCCCTAGTGGTGGCAGTGAAGCTGACATAGAGGGACCTTTGCCTGCAAAGGACATTCATCTTGATTTACCATCAGCAAATCTTGTTTGTAAGGATACAGAAGACTCATTGCTCATAAAAGAGAATGACCAGACAGTAGCAGTTGCTCTTAGCCCTAAAGAAAGCAATGAAGATAAAGAAGTACCTCCTCCCAATAAAGAAACAGTTCCTGATTCAGGATACCCTGCCAGCATTGATGAGATTAACGAAGCTGACTTAGTGAGACCATTACTTCCTAAGGACATGGAACGTCTTACAAGCCTTAGAGCTGGCATTGAAGGACCTTTACTTGCAAGTGAAGTTGAACGGGACAGATTGGCTGCCAGTCCAGTTGTAATTAGTATACCAGAAAGAGCCTCAGAGTCGTCTTCAGAGGAAAAGGATGACTATGAAATTTTTGTCAAAGTTAAGGACACACATGAAAAAAGCAAGAAAAATAAAAACCGTGACAAAGGTGAAAAAGAGAAGAAAAGGGACTCTTCATTAAGGTCTCGGAGTAAGCGCTCCAAGTCTTCTGAACATAAGTCACGCAAGCGTACCAGTGAGTCTCGTTCTAGAGCAAGGAAGAGGTCATCTAAGTCCAAGTCTCATCGTTCTCAAACACGTTCACGATCACGTTCAAGACGCAGGAGGAGGAGTAGCAGATCAAGATCTAAGTCTAGAGGAAGGCGGTCTGTATCAAAAGAGAAACGCAAAAGATCTCCAAAGCACAGGTCCAAGTCCAGGGAAAGGAAAAGGAAAAGATCAAGCTCCCGGGACAACCGCAAAACAGTTCGGGCTCGGAGTCGGACTCCAAGTCGTCGCAGTCGGAGTCACACTCCTAGTCGGCGGAGAAGGTCTAGATCTGCCGGTAGAAGGAGGAGTTTCAGCATTTCCCCCAGCCGCAGGAGCCGCACCCCTAGCCGCAGGAGCCGCACCCCTAGCCGAAGGAGCCGCACCCCCAGCCGAAGGAGCCGCACCCCCAGCCGCAGGAGTCGCACCCCTAGCCGAAGGAGCCGCACCCCTAGCCGCAGAAGAAGATCAAGATCTGTAGTAAGAAGACGAAGCTTCAGTATATCACCAGTCAGATTGAGGCGATCAAGAACACCTTTAAGAAGAAGGTTTAGTAGATCTCCCCTTCGTCGTAAAAGATCCAGGTCTTCTGAAAGAGGCAGATCACCCAAACGTCTAACAGATTTGGGTAAGTTATATTTTATGTTGTAATAGATATGAGTTAAGCTTGATTTCTAATCCTGCGTCAAAAGGGTATTTTGGGGGTGTTGGTTTAGATAATCATTCAGTTGTGTTTAGAGAACAAAGGGGAAGTTAGTGCACTTGAAAGGTAAAAAGCCATGATGTACCTGGACTTGCTATTTCACCTTAATTGAAAGAGTAGTAGCTTGAGAAGCCTTGTTACAGCTCAGATTGATTGTTGTGTGTTGGATATATTTCAGCACAAGGCTTTGCAAAAAAGCAGAATTGGAAAATTATCATTTAATTGTTCTTTTTTTTGAGACAGGGTCTTAGTCTGTAGTGCATGTTGGCATGGAATTTACTATGTAGCCAGCCCAAAGTGGCTGTGCTCTCCTTGAGCTCCTGTTGACTGGGATTACAGGCTGAGCCACCATGCCAGATTTAGCTATCATATCTTAAAATGGCAACCTAGGATTGTTAAATGGAAAGGGTTTTTGTTTTTTTTCGAGACAGGGTTTCTCTGTGGTTTTGGAGCCTGTCCCGGAACTAGCTCTTGTAGATCAGGCTGGCCTCGAACTCCCAGAGATCCTCCTGCCTCTGCCTCCCGAGTGCTGGGATTAAAGGCGTGCGCCACCACCGCCCGGCCTGGAAAGGTTATTCTGTGTAATATGACAGGTTATTGAATTTAGGAAATTTTGTTCTGAGAGTGAGCTGGATGAATGATGCAGTTTATTTAATGAAGTGATTATCACTAATTATATTCTGTTGTCTTTAAAAATAAATGTTTTCTAGCTGTGTAGAGGTGGCACACACCTTTAATCCCTGCACTTGGGAGGCAGAGGCAAGTGGATATCTGAGTTCGAGGGCAGCCTGGTCTAGAGTCAGTTCCAAGACAGAGGCTACGCAGAGAAATCCTGTCTCAAAAAAACCAGAAAACAAAACAAAACAAAAAAACAAAACCTCTTATTAAAACTTGAAGTATGCCTACATGGTGGTTAATTTTTTGGTTAGGGCAGTCTAAAGAAAAAGACAAGACAGCAGAATTGATAGTCTGTTAACTAAGAGTTTTCTGATATTTCATTTTCTTAGAACTGAGGAATGGTAGGTAATTCTCAGTGATTGTAAGTTAGTGAAGGAAGTTGCTAGAATGTACGACTTTTACCAAGGGTCAAAACTTAAAAAAGAGTAGAAGGTGTAATTGCCCTAGTGATGGTGCAGGGGCACATTTTGCACAGTGGAGAGGAATATTCATTCTTGCTCAGTTGAAGGCTTCTTGAAAGAGATGGACTTGGAACTTAATAAGGGATTAAGTTACTGTTAGATTAGAATGAGATTTGTCTGAGAGAGAGACAGAGACTAACTTGTAGCCTGCTATGTAGTTGAGGTTGGCCTGAACTTCTACCACTGTCTCCACTTCGCCTTTGCTTGCTTGGGATTGCAGTTTTCTGTGACCAGTTTTATGTAATACTGGGCTTTGAACCACAGGGTCTGTACATGCTCAGTAAGCATTTTAACTAAGCAGCATCCCTAGCACAAAAATGAGAATGGTTTATGGTCATGTTAATTCTAGGAAATAATGTTGCCTTTGGTAGACTTGTTCTTTTATAATTTATGGCTAGGTGATCACAGAGTCATAGTAAGCTATCGTGTGTAGTATTTGCATTGGAAACAAAGAGTAGTGTTAATTGTTGAAAAGGGTCCATTCACCTTGATCATAGCCGTAACTTAGGGAATAGTACTGATGCCTTTAATTTTATTGTCTATGATATCTTTAGACAGAACAAAAACATACAGCGTTTAGGAAAACTGCTTCTTGTATTTTTTCTCTTACAGATAAGGCTCAATTACTTGAGATAGCCAAAGCTAATGCAGCTGCCATGTGTGCTAAGGCTGGTGTTCCTTTACCACCAAACCTAAAGCCTGCCCCTCCACCTACAATAGAAGAGAAAGTTGCTAAGAAGTCTGGAGGAGCTACCATAGAAGAACTAACGGAGGTAAGCTAGACAGACTTTGTTTCCATTCTTAAATGGATTATTCCATGGATGTTGACTTCTGGAGCGTGCCAAAACCTGAATTGTGGGCTGAACTGATAATGGCTGGCACCGAGTGCCCAAAACCCGAAATACAGATGTGGCAGCGGCAGAAGCTCTGTTTAGCAGGCCATTATCCGGGATGGCTAAGCTCCGCTAGCTAAAAAGTTACTTCCCATTACTTTTGCTTTCCAGTTTTAGAAGCCAAACTGACTGAGGAGTGGAACGGTTCGTTTGAATGGAGGAGGTGTTGAGTGAGCAACACGCAGAAGCTCGCCTACAGTTTCGTTTCCATTCACGACGTGTTCACTGATCGCCAAGAGTGTACTGCATATACGCAAAGACACAGACAATCTTCAGAAATGATCTTTTGCCACCGGAGCTTGGAAATTAATGAGAATAGCTGGCCATTGCCTGAAAGGAACTTCTTTCGCATCAACATTTCGGGTTTTGGCTGTTTGGTACCAGCCATTGGCGATAATGGCCGGCCATTATCAGTTCTTCCTGCGGTTCGGGTTTTGGCAGTAACATATTTTAAATATACTTATTTTTGTTTTTAAAAAATTGATCTTTTAAAATTAAGGCTTTTTGGGGAAGCTTTGTTTTACTTTAATATTTTTTTTGTGTGTGTGTGTGTGTAAGGGGGGGAAGACGCTGAAATATTGCTGCTAGGATCCAGGAATAACACACTGTTTCATATACTGAAACCTGTTGTTGGCTAGCCTTATGCCAGCCTGCCACTGTCAACATATTCTGTTCTCATTGGTTACATGCTTGATACACTTTTGTGTTTTTGGCTAATTGAGCTTTTTAATTCTATTGTAATATTTTCAATTGATAATAGATGTGACAAGTTCTGCTTGTATAGACAGGTCTACTAAAATTTACTCTTAACCTTTTTATAAACGGAATATGTTCCTTTTGCTTCTGAGGAAGGAATTGACTTTATATGTTGGACTGCATCAATTGCACCCTCTCCATCATGCCTTATTTTCCATTCTTAAGTTACAGTCCTTAAATAAATTTTAAAAAACATTTATGGAGAGACATGTTACTGTTTACCCTGCCACAAATCTTTAAAATCTTTTACCATACATTTGGGAATTATAAAGTTTCTTGTTTCCTTGCTTAGATTCATTATAGTTTGAATTATAACTTAGAAAAGAAAGACCTAGCAAAAAGCCTCTTGCTTACTTACCAAATGCAAGCTTTTTATGTAAAAGTCTCTGAACACTTAGCGTTCTGCTGTTGTTGGTCTCATCTTCAGCGCTCTTGCCCCGTCTGACAAGTCTCTCCTGACTTGTTCACCACCACCTGACCAAGATGACTTTCTTTTCCTTCCCAATTCTTCTTTACTATGGAAATTGCGCTTATAACTCTTGAAGAAATTTTCTTTGATTCCTAAACCCTGCCTGAATATTCTCTCTTAAGCCTTTGTTCTTTTAGCACTTATGTACCCTGTTTGTATTATATCAGTTTGCATTTGTTATTGTGTTGCTCTGTAAAAAGGTTCTTCAATTACTTCTTGTATATGTACTCTTGTCTTGTATTAGATTGTAAGCTCCCTTGGAGCAGGGACCATGTCTTTACCTATTTCTCTTTTTTTTCCTTTTTCCTTTTTTTTTTATTTTTTTTTTTATTTTTCTTAAGACAGTGCCCAGTTCAGTGCTCTGCACATAGTAGGTGCTCAATAAATGTTGTTGACTGAGCAGCCAGTGTGTGTTTAAATAATATATCTAGTAAGCTAAATTATGGTTCTTTAAGCTATCATAAATGTTGATTACTTGAAATTGATCTTATGTGATTCTTTTAAAAAAATTACGTGCTAATTTGTGTAAGCCATATTCATCTTTTGTTTGTTTTTACTTTAAAGAAATGCAAACAGATTGCACAGAGTAAAGAAGATGATGATGTAATAGTGAATAAACCTCATGTTTCGGATGAAGAGGAAGAAGAGCCTCCTTTTTATCACCATCCCTTTAAACTCAGTGAACCCAAGCCTATCTTTTTCAATCTGAATGTGAGTATTAGTCAAGTGCGTGCAGACTGATGAGAGCCTTGTGGGTTTAGTCTACTGAGTGTGTACATGCTGTGATGAATAGTGACAGCGGCTCTTCTCAAAGTAGGGCTCTGGTAGTGTGGGGGCCTAGGATGTGTGAGTTCAATTCCTGGCACTGCAAAAAAAATAAAAAGTAAATGTTTCCTTTAGATTTTATTGAGATTTTTAGAAACCATTTATGGTATCTGTTATAATGCATTCTAATTAAATACTGTATTTTAGATTGCTGCAGCAAAACCAACTCCACCAAAAAGCCAAGTAACATTAACAAAGGAATTTCCTGTGTCATCTGGATCTCAGCATCGGAAAAAAGAAGCCGATAGTGTTTATGGAGAATGGGTTCCTGTAGAGAAAAACGGTGAAGAAAACAAGGATGACGATAATGTTTTCAGCAGCAGCTTGCCCTCAGAGGTAAGTAGTAGGAATATATGTGTTTGTTTTTATGTCTAAATCTCCCATTTTATTGTTATTTTATATCTGATTTGGATTCTGTTTCACTCTTCTTAGGGCCGGGTTAAACGGCAGGGCCGGGTTAAACGACAGATGAAACAACCCGCAGCTTCTCATTTGACAGTAACTCGATGCAATTCACTTTGTGGAACGAAGCCACAAAGTGAAAAGCATCGAATTGCAGAGAAAAGTGTTATCACATCCCTACCCAACATTGGGCCCTCCATGCACTTGTGGGAAGGGAGCCCAAGGTACAACTATTTAGCTTCCCGTTTTGCTTCTAGGCTCTATAGCTCTAGATTTTGGTGGTAGCAAGTATGTTGGGTGGAGGGATTCAGGGGAGAGAAGGCAGATCCTCAGGTTCAACACAAGAACTGGATTGAAAAAGTCATTGTAGGTTGATGTGAACATCGTGGGTACCTAGCCCATTGCCCTTAAGTGATGGTTTCTTAATATTTCTCTGGGTTTTCAGATAGCCTTTGATTTTAATAATTTTCCCTTCCTTGTGCTACCTTAGCCCTTTTGAATTCTTGTGTTTAACCTAGTGTTCAGCCTTGGTTCTCCATTCCCTACTCTTTCCCCTCTTTGCTACTATTAAAAGTTGGAGGAGTGAAATTTATACATTGAAATTTCTCAAGGCAATAGTTGTATCTTGTCAAAATGACGCAGTAACAATGCCAAATGTCAAAACAAGCCCATTAAAATGCCGCCTGATTAAGTAATGTGCTGCTAAGTACAGTGCACAGGAGAACAGCAAGACTGTATATATATGTAAATATATATATATCTGTATCTTTGTATGTATCTCTGTATCTGTATCTTTGCTGTGTCTTTTAATAAACAGTTTACTTTTATTTAACTTGTTGTGCAAAATCACGCTTGGGGATCTGGGAGGGTGGAGACTTGACTAGGGGAGGTGGGAGTTAGAGACTAACAGTCGTCACCTTGCCCTCGGTTTCCAAAGCCTTGACATTCGTCCAAAGATTGGACTTAGATACCTGATGCCCTTATGGACTCCTTTTTCTTGCAGTTCTGGGATATGTAGGTCTGAGAGACCTCGTCTCTTCACTTGAGGTTCCCTACATTGGCCATAAACATTTTCCAGTAGACACTTGCAGTTCTACAAATAAATCTTGTTTATAAAGCCAAAGTAAATAGAACTCAAATCAGAAACTTTTTCATGTAGTACTTTTCCCCAGAGATATTCACAGGCGACATTTTCACTGTGTTTTTTTGACCTGCGGCATTTTGAATGGGAACAGTTCTAAATAGTAATGCTGATGAACGTAACTGGCCAGTGTAGTTAACTTATTTACAGTTAAAGGTGATGGTCTGTATTCACACAGAGTTCAACAGCTGAAGCAAATCAAAACATCACCAGTGAGGAGAAGGGTATCTGGTTTGGACTTAAGTTGAAACAAGTTTAGTGCTCATTTACTAATCCCCAAATCGGGCGGGCTACTGCCACATCTTAGGAGGGAAAGCTAACTGACATCTGCAGCTAATTTAATCTTCTTGTAGTAGCTGAATATAAACCAGGTGAGGGTTGTACAAAAATAGATGTCCATATATATATATATATATATATATATATATATGCTTTTAGTAGTTTATTTCAGATTATTATTTAAACAGTTGGGAAGAACATAGCCAGAGAGAATCTCCATTGTAGCAAAGACTTAGACATTTTGTAGAAATCTGACATTTTCTTGAGGAAATGATTATAAATTTTAGCTTCTGTTGAGTCATCGGAAAGTGCATGTTGATTATGCTCTTTGAATGAGAAAGTTTATTTAAATTTATGACTGCCATTTTCAGCCTCAACATTGGAAGTGATGCAATAGCCTTGTCTTCCATCAAAGGTTAGAATCTAATTAAGGGGGCAGTGTTCAGGAGAGGACAGAATCACTAAAACAGAAGGAAAGCTCTGTCAGGGATCAGATGAATAAAGCATGATGTCTGTGGGGAAGGTAACACAGTGAGAGCTGAGCTGTTTATACAACAAAGATCTAGGAGCAGAGGTAGAAGGTAATTTTGGTTGTAATGAAAAGAATTCCAAACTTTAGGAAGGGACACGACTGTTTTGCTTTCATCTATTTATTTCTGTAGCAACGTTAAAGACACCTAAGAAAAGTTGACAATAGATAATACTCAACTTGTTACTTAGTTACCATCTAAGTTTCCTTTATTTGTAGAGCTGGTGTTCTTTCTACCAGAGGAGCACTGACCTGATTTCAGTAGGGTTCCAAATGATGTTGTGTGTGTTTTTTTTTTTTAAGAGTAATGCAAAAATTTTTTTCTAAGTGGCAAGGTAATATTTTTTAAAATCAGTCTTTTTTGTTTTAATAAGTATAATTGAAGTTTATGGATCTTCAGTCTTGACCACAAAACATTTTAGCAAAGATGACAGAATTTTATCTTCACAAGGGCTAAATTATTCCTACTCCCACAACTGTCTTGCACGTGAGTGTGCTGACATGGATGAAACTGCATAAATCCATGTGTATGGAAAACAACTCATCAAGATGGTGTTCCCTTCTGCCATAGCATCGTCTTCCTTCCCAGAAACCAGCCAGCTTCATCCTCAGAAAGGAGTGACTACAGAATTTTCAATCTGATTTATAAACAAAGTTGGAAAACTCATGTTAGAAAAGCAGTCGCCAAGGACAGTTCTTTAATAAGGTCAGCAAAGGCTTATTGTAGATTAGAGGTAGGGCACACGCACAAGTGGTGTGATAAGCACAGTTGCTAATTCATTTGCCTCAAGCAGTGTGTTAGGTTTGTATTGGATCCTGTCTACATCCTTGTAGCTAAAATTCTCTTGAAATTGGAAACTCTAAGTTTATGAAGTTTATCAAAGCTCACTTCTTGGAAAAGGATGAAAATTGTAACTGGGCTTAGTTAAAGCATAGTTCTTGAATTATAATATTGCTAGATGTAAATTATAGCCTTGTTACTTACTCTTTTTTTCCCTAGATCTTTATAGGCTGGTAACCCTGAATTTCTCTGACGCACTTAACTTAGAAGGAGAAAAATATTAATTCCCTTATAACTCAATTATGGTATAGAATTTTGTATAATAAAAATAATATTCATAATTTATATGAAAAAGTGACTTAGGGAAGTTGTATGTTGATGTGCCTTTCCTTTTTGAAGTTGACACTGTTATTTCATATTATCTGATGCATTTTTTTTAATCATTTTTGTTAAGTATTGTAAATGTTTTCTAGGCTGGTTGTTTTTCTTTAGTTGTTATTAGAGTTTGCTGCATGCCTTTTGAGATAACCTGCAGTCACCTGTGTAGAAAATAATCCAATTTAGCCCTGCGCACTCACCTTAAGCTCTTTCCTATCAGTCACTGAATTTCTGTGAAATTTTTAGGTTTTTTTGTTGTTTATAGAAACTGCTTGGCTTCCCAGAGGGATAGTAAGTGAACTTAAATGTCTGTGTGTGATTGTGGTGGTGACCTCATGTCCAGACTGTAGAGCAGCTGCAGTCCTCTAGATAAGGAGTTACAGAAATGTGAGAATTGTAATTCAGGACACTATATAGATTTTCTTTATTTTAGGCGAAGGAATTCAGCATTTCTGCTCTAGTACCCAGAGTAGTGGCACCACAGTTACTTTATAGAAGAAACGACATGTTAATAATTGACAGTAGCTTTACAGACTTTACAAATATCTCTTTTTAGTTTGTGGAGGGAAACCTGGAACCTTTCTCATATTTCTTATTTTTGAACATTAAAGACTGGTTAAAGAATATAAAACATTGCCGGGTGATGGTGGCGCACGCCTTTAATCCCAGCACTCGGGAGGCAGAGACAGGCGGATCTCTGTGAGTTCGAGACCAGCCTGGTCTACAGAGCTAGTTCCAGGACAGGCTCCAAAGCCACAGAGAAACCCTGTCTCGAAAAAGAAAAAAAAATAAATAAAATAAAACATTTTTCAATGTAGCAGTCACTAGCCACTAAAGTTCCCAAATTCCAACTGCTGTGTGTGTGTTGTTTTCCCAAGACAGGGTCTCTACATAGCTCTGGCTTGCCTGAACTCTCTCACGTAGACTAGGCTGGCCTTGAACCTAGATCCATTGTGCCTCTGCCTCCTAAATGCTAGAAATAAAACTGTGTACCACTATGCCCAGCTAGCTGTTGTATTTTATGTGTTTTAATGAGACTATGTAACATTTTATCAGATTCTTGACTATTAATGCTTTGGGGACTGCAGTTTAGTTAGTACTTTATGTCTTAGCATATAATATGAACCTTGAAAAGCTGAATAAAACTCTTGTACATGTTAAACCCCCTCCTTTTGTGAAGCTAGAGATGAAACTCATAGTTCTGTACATGCTAGGCAAGTGCTCTACAGCTGGGCTATATTCCCAACCTAAGGTAATCTAGACTGTCTCAATTTTTGATATATTTCAACATAAAATAGGAAATAAGTGAATTTTTTTATATAAACTTAATGATTTGCTAAGCCTTTGAAAAAAATAAATGCAGTTGATTAGGAAATAGTTGTCACTTATTTAAACATCAAGATTGGTATATTAAACATGTCTTTTATATGAAGTATTTAATATGAAATAACACTGAGGCTTAAAGGAGTTTCTTTTGGGCTCTAGAAGGAGTATTTTAGTTATTTCTCAATCAAGTTTACAAGAAAATGTAGTGTAAACAGGCCAGTAAAGGACAAGATTTTTAGGTAAATTTTTTTGTTTTACTTAGATTTAGTTAGAGCTCAGTGTATTTTATGGCTGTGAAGTTGGAACTTTATGTTGGATATTGAAAGGTTCTGACTGGAATGAGTAGACATTTTCCCCAGTGTCTTTCAAGAATAAAAACTTACTATGACTTAGCACCCATCACTTAGGTTTGCAAATTGCTCTGAAACCAAAGTAAGTTTAAGAAGACTAATGCAATGGTATGTGTCTCATTTGGTTGTTTGGTGGGTCTGCACAGACAAAAATATCTACAGGATAATTCTACTTGACAGTTCAATTTACTTTACATCTAAGGTAGGCCTAAGAAATAATAAATTTTGGTCTGAAATAACTATATTCACATTGAAAGACTCAGGAATTACCTGGAAGAGATTTGCGTCCCAGGAATTAACTCACAATAAATGAGTATAGTATTAAGTTGTGACTTTACATAGGTTGTCCTCATTTTTGTAGACCTTAAAACTAAATATTAAGCATGGATAATACTGTTAACTAAGCAAGTAAGAGCTTTCATTTACAATAGTCTAATGGGCATCAATTATGTTTATTTATTTATTTACTTATTTATTTTCATTTTAAGCCAGAAAAGTATACTTTGTTAGTGAAAGGAGTCTTAAGACAATTTCAATCAAGATAACTTAGAATGAATGATACGTAAGCAAATTTGAAGTTTGGAAAAAGATACTTGGTCCTTCCATTGGTATATAGATTTACTTTTGTAACAATTATACACAGTACACAGTGAGATTATTGCTAGCTTCTATTTTTTTTAAAAGCTGCTTTACTGACTTTCATTTGCAGTGTCCATACAATACCTATGTATGTGAAAACAGCCTTTGTAGTAAACACTTTTTAAAAAAATTTATTATGTGAAATTACTGGAAAATAATAGTTAATTAAATGTTAAATGATATTGAAAGAGAATATTGAGTTCATAAAATTCAGTTTGTTTTCATCATAAAGTGGTTAAGCCCTTAAATCTGTCACCTGCTTAGCACAGGAGGCTATGCTTTCATTGTATATAAGAAATCTGTGATGGTGGTGACCTACCTCCCATGCTAACCATTCAATTACGCCCCATGAACCTTAGCCTAAATTTTCAAAGGTAGATGACAAGATTTTGGGGGAAGACTTAAACACTTTGAAAAACCAGTGTTATTTCTAGATTATGGTAATAAATGTATGTACTTCAAAATAACTACGTACTGACTAGAATTTTTTGAGCTGGGTTCTTAGGATCAAAGCATATCCATTCCTGTCTGTGTTCCCGGGAACCCTGCTATGAGTAGTTATATTGACTCTAGTGGTGTTCTGCTGCTTATCCACGGACCTCACTTACTGCTTCCTAAGTTACACTAATAATCAACTAGAGTAAGATGAACCGATAGAGAATATCATAATAGTTTAACATTTATAACCATTAAAAACCTAGGAGGCCAGCCTGGTATACAAGAGCTAGTTCCAAGACAGGCTCCAAAGCCACAATGAAACCCTGTCTCGATACCTCCCCCCCCCCCCCAAAAAAAAAAAAAACCAAACAAGTAAAAGACCGGTACCATTTGTTAGTAAAGCTACCGATAATGAGTTCATAATGAAACTCAATGGTTCTAGTTTGATATTATAGAAAACATGCTGATGAAATCAGAATTTGGACTGAGCTCTGCCTCTGACTACTACTTGACAACTAACTTACCTTAATTGTCTTCTATTTTCCAGGAGTGTCCTCTTTGCCTTTTGAATCTTCTCATTTTCCAAGAATCTTAATTATATAGACTATGGTTTATTTTTTTACATGTAGCATCTAAAGACATAGAAGCACCCGAGAGAATTAGGGGACTGTGGTAATTTTGGATAATTATCTATGTTTTCTTTCTTAGCCTGTGGACATCTCAACAGCAATGAGTGAACGGGCACTTGCTCAGAAGAGACTCAGCGAGAATGCATTTGACCTTGAGGCCATGAGTATGTTAAATCGAGCTCAAGAACGGGTATGTGACTTTTATAATGATTAAATGAGAATTTTACTATCTAGATATATGACTCATTACAACAGTAGTTGTGAGAAACCATTACCGTTTTCAGGTGTGTGTTAGTGGAGACCTGGACTCAAGTCTACATATGCTGTTTTATACTTGATACTCGTTATACTTTGTTCTGTCTTAATTGCTGACTTATTTGAAATAAAATGACTTAGACCTAATTAGACTAAGAAAATGTTTATTGCATACTATGGCAAGAACTATTTGAGAACAAAATAGAAAATAAATCCCTCAAGAGATTACAGTCTGATCTGCACATAAGTGCCCAGAACAACTCTATGAGGTATTACTATTACTCTCCTTGTTTCATCTAAACAAACCGAGCTAAGCAGTAGTCAGCTGATACCCACAACTCGTAAGTAGAAGTGGGGTTCATTACCAAATAATAATGAATCAGAGTCTACTTTGAACAGGAAGGAAATAGCTTTTCATTTTATGCTAAATCTATATAGGAACAGTTTAGGTAGGAAGTAACATTGCTGGTAATACAGGTATGCATTAAATGCAACATGAAAGATACCTGATTCTGCAGCACAGTAGGTGTTGGTGAGCGATGTGCTCTACTTTTTCTGCTTTTGACCATTTTCTATACTATGCTATTGGTAGATAATAGTATCTCGCAGGATTCCCAAAAGATTTAGATGATCATGGCAATTATTTAGATTCATTTGTATGATACGTCAAATGACAAAGGCAAAGATCTTTGGCCATAAGAACTACATTTTTCATCTCAAACCCTCATACCTTCTTTTGCGTTAATAGATTTCATTGAATGCTGTAAAACTTACTTGAACTTTAAATATATCATTATTTGGCTACTTCAGGAACCAAACCATTTTTCCTCAGTGAATTAAACTACCAGTGTGGCGCTTTCATCAGATTAGTACTTTTACTTATTGAAGATGGTGGCTTCTTTTTCTTCAGATTGATGCCTGGGCTCAGTTGAACTCTATCCCTGGGCAGTTCACAGGAAGTACAGGAGTGCAAGTCCTAACACAGGAACAGCTGGCTAATACTGGTGCCCAAGCCTGGATTAAAAAGGTACACGGACTATCAAAAAATAAGAAGCTGAGTTTTTTGTTGTTGTTTTTTTGATAATCATACCTTAAAAATGGAGAGGCAAGTGACTAACCTAAGTTCCTGAGTAAGTTTACTATGTGTATATGCTCCAGGATGGACACTGAAGATGGGCTGAAATCCTGACAAAATGCCAAATGCACACATACGGCTCGAGAGCCACTCACTTTATATCTGGAGGTGGTTGTTTTTCATGATTTTGCAGTTGGTTTTAGTGGGGGTGGTTCTACTTAACTGTTTTGAATGCTAACTGTACCAGGTGCTGTTCAGAATCCTCCGCAGTTCCTGTTGGACTACTAACCTAATCATTTCAGAGCAGTGTGCTCAAACATTTTCATCACGGGATACTTTATTACAGGTTTAGTTTTGGTGGATCACTACCCCCAAGAGCCCTTTGCCACCCTAATATTCCATTCCTCTATCCTTGTCCTCTCATTAGTGCCTGCACCCGCTTATAAATACCTTTGCTCCTACCTTCCTATTATGACTTCTAGCCCCAGGTCCCTATATGGTGGTCAACTATTAGATTTAATGAAGTGGTTGGGAGGCCCTAATTAATACTGCATGTGGTAAACTTGCCATGGGACTGAAAGGTGGGAGGAGGATGGCTGTGGAATGTGGGGTGGGCAGTTGTGAAGGGGGGTAAAGAGGGTGGGGTGGGCTGGAGATAACTATCTGTGGACCACCATTTAGGTCCTGGTGGCCTCTGGTGATCCACAGGCTCAGTTTGAGAACCACTGACTTCATGAAAAAACAGGATATGTAAGACCTAAAATCAAGGGAGAGGACGGACATCTCATGCTACGAAGATGTAGGTGCACCTGATCTCAGATTCCTGCAATGAGATTTTTCAACTCTACCTACGGCTACCTCATTGTTGGGGGAGTCTTAGGTGGTTAAAAGGGGGTATTCTGAAGAAATGATGCTTGGTGACGGGCTGTGGTTTGGTTGGATGGGTGATGAGAAATTTGTTTCAGGAGTACTGGCAACAGCAGTGCTGAAACTGGGAGGCTGCGTGGTCTCTTGGATTGGGAAGGTTTCTTTGTCCTGCTGTACTCCTGACTCCTTGTGTGATCGTGGGCAAGTAATTCCTTGGAATTTTTGTCTCCCAAATGTCAAGTGGTGGGAGACAGGTTCTTATCAATGTCTCCAACAATGGTAATCAGTGATGTGATAGGTACCTTATTACTTGTAGAATTGGAATGAGTGCTACTCATGGATGAGCTGGTTTTCAAAAAAGAAAATTTTGATTGCTTTGGACATTTAATATCATAACATTTTATAGCAAGCATTCCCTGTGGTTCTCTTATTAACTAATTAATATAAGGTATTACACAACTTCATTGTGCTTGCCTTTCCCCTGTTAAGAAAGTTGCACGCATATGTACCTAGGCATTGGTTTTGGGGGGGAAAGGGGATTATCTAGCAATATTTTTAATGATTAGATTAATTTTATATACTAATACTTCATATAAATTATAGAAGTTGATAGTTGAAAAGTAGCTTTCATTTTAGTGGGGAGGAATTGTTTACTTTTTTTGACACTGGGCATTAAAACTGGGGCCCTCAGTTTTAGGTAGTAAGCAAGCTTTCGAAAGTCACACGTTCAGTCATGTTTCATTTATTTGGTTCTGAAGCTCAGTGTTTGGTATTTGTGAGTATTTATGCTTGTAATAGTTCATGTGCATTGCCAGGTAGAAGCTTCTGGAAGGTTTTCCATTGTGAAATGTGCTGCTCTCTGTGTATGTGTAAAGAGCAGATAAACATAAGTGAATTTCCAAGGTGAGTTTGCACTTAAGTGGCTCCCTAACACCGTCTCATAAATAGATTTGTGCTGTTTTTCAGCTTGTAAGTAGTTATTGTTTAATAGAACCTTGAAAATGATTTAGCTTTACATTTTATATAGGATATAATCTGAGAAGCAAATTCTTACATTATAGAAGGAATCAACAATAGCAAAATGATCGTATTGTGAATTACTGGGTAGAGTATTTGGATGGAAACTGGAGGAGCATTGTTTACGAGTCATTGGGCAACTAAAATTTCATTGGCATTTTTCAAACATTTTTTCTACACCCATTAATTGTGTTTAGGAAATGTTGAAATGGCCATTTGGCTTTCTTGGCCCAGCACTGTCACGTATTAAAAACCATAGGGAATACCAACTAATAAATACCCTGTGTTCTTTAGTTTGTTTTAGAATACTTTTAGATTAAGAGAAATATTTCATTTATATTCTCATTTATCAGTAAGACATTTAAAACTTCATTAATTTTAATGGACCTTTATGTTCTCAAATTATTTGGGTTTTAATTTCATAAAAAATGTTGGTTATTGTGGTCTCATTAGATCAAGACAGCTTTTTACACTGGGTAAAGAGGCAGGTGCTAATATAATAGCAAACAGAAGCGGAAAACTGGGCTACATGGGGATTTATATTGTACTCTGTCTGTACAGTTGCCCTTTTTTTTAGGAGTGTTACCTGGAAAAGAGGGGAGATGAACCTGAAGTAAGTATAGTCATTCTAGGTGTGTAGCATCAAGGCAGTGGAGACCCAAGCATCAGCTAACTTTTCTCTTTATTATACATCCACAATGCATGGCCTGCACCAAATAAGGAACTGAACCAGGGGTATGTTTTTACCTCCACAGCTGCCTCCTTCCATCAGAGCACCTTGTTAAACTTAATGTCTAGTCACATGTCCTTGGCAGATTTTCTCCCCAACATTTAATTATAAAGCTGGGAAACAAAGCTTATATATTTTACTGCAGTGTAAAAAATATAACTTTTAAGGATCAGCTTACTGATAGAAGGAAAAAGAATGCATACCTGCTTGCTGAGCTACTTAAACATTTGACTCTGTAATGACTTAGTATATATTTGGCAGAGAACATTAACGTAAAATGTTATAATAATCTGAAATAAAACATTGTTTAGAGATGCTTCAATTAAAAAGGAAAAAAAAACCCACCTAGATCAACAGCAGAATTCATAACTGATAGAATGTGCATTGACACCTATTTCAAGAGCACTGGCCATTTATTTCACAGCTGGAAGATCCAAGACTGCTGACCGTGCTAATGTACATAGTTGTGCAGCTCAGGACATTAAGTGGTTTGCTGCTTTGATGGAAATTATGGTTCAGTGGGTTGGATACGAGAGAGATGATTGTTCACAGAATAACCTGTGAACTTTCACCCCTCTGTATGGAAACTTGTTTCAGGGCCAAATCCTTGTAGCTGTCTTCTTGCCCCGGTCAGTGCCAGCCGTACTATTCACAACACTGCTGCTACCGAGGCCTAGGTATGTAAACATTTAAGGAGTTTTTTAAGTCTCTTAACATCAAGCCAGGTTTTAGAAGAATTCAGATTTGGTATACTCAGGATATCTGATGTGCTTATAACTTACTACATGTAAATGTATTCTGTTTATAGGGATTTTCTAAGTAAAAATTTGATACTTGCTTTATAGTAGAATGGGGAAGAAAACTGGATGACAACTGTATGCTTCTTCAGTGTTCAAACTATTTTAAAATAATTTCTAGGCTTTATTCGTAAACTAGGTATACCTGAGACAATAATATTGACTGTTTTAACATTGCCTTCTTTTTATTTTACAAGCTAAGAAGAGATACCAGTGAACCTAAATAGTGGACGAAAACAGGAGTGCTCTTTTTGTTGTTGTTTTTTTTTTGGAGGGGGGCACCGAGGGGCAACTGTTAAAATTGCCATTTGACTTTCAAGTGTTGGTAATTATTACTAGAACATAAGCTACAGAATGTACTAAGCATAGTAGAGTTTCAATTTAATGCTACTGATCTAGAAGTAAAGGAAGATTTAACATTGTAGTTCAGTTCTAACTGTAAAATGGGGGCCTTTTCCCTTTTTTTCTTTGGATAGGATCAGTTTTTAAGAGCAGCCCCAGTAACTGGAGGAATGGGTGCTGTCTTGATGAGAAAAATGGGCTGGAGAGAAGGAGAAGGGCTAGGAAAGAACAAAGAAGGAAATAAGGAACCCATCCTCGTTGATTTTAAGACAGACCGGAAAGGTAAGTTCTTTTGAAATATTTTGAGTCCCATTTTCTTTTGTTTTTATCTTATTTTGGTCCTAGTGACCATGGACTGGAGACAAATAATGAATAGCTCTTTGCTGGAGAAACCTTTAACACATTTTTTCACACACAGCAGTTTCTGTTGATGAAGATACTAGTTTGATAACTTGCGTTGTGGTAGTTACTATGAAAATCTGTGTTTTGAATATTTAAATTTAATAAAATTTTTCTTTTGTTCTTAATGGAGATTACCAGGTATGCTTGCCAGGTTTTTTTGGTTGGTTGTTTTTTTTTTTTTCTTGCTACATTTATTTATTGTGCAGACATGACTGGCAAGCACCCTTATTTGTGGAAACATCTTCTTGGCCATTATTTGGTTGTCTATTTTTTTAAATGATTTATATATAGGGGTCTGCTTTTTCTGCATGTATGTTTTTGCAACATATACCAGTGCCCATAAAGCCCAGAGAGGGCATTGGATCCTGGGACTAAATAACTGTTGAACCATCTCTCTAGCTTTTTTGGTGGTTTTTTGAGACAGTCTGTATTTTTGCCTGTCTCTGCTGGGCCTTGAGTGGCCTTGAACTTGCAGTGATCTTCTTGCCTTGTCTCCCGAGAGCTAGAATTACAGGCCTATGTCATCACGGTCCTTGGTTCGTTTGTTTGCCTTTATTTTTAAGGTGCGATTTTTTTTTTCTTAGACACTTTAGTTTCTTAAGTTTCTACTTGATTTTTGTGTTGTGGGTGAAATGACAGATGAGCCGCAGTCAGCAGTATTAGTTCTTCATTACTTCCTGTTGGGGACCTTGGAATTGTTGTTTCTGTTAGCTGTTTTAGAAATATGCACATAGTAACTAAAGTTAACAGCTAGCTAGTGGCATTGAATGTTGGTTGGTAGCTCATATTCCTTGTGTAAGCCTTTACTTAAGATACGGGCCAGGCCTGGTGGTGAATGCCTTAGATCCCAGCAGAGACAGGCAAATCTCTTAAGTTTGAGGTCAGCCTGGTTTACAGAACAAGACTTAGGATAGCCATGGCTACAAAAAGAAAACCTGTCAACAAAAAACCAAAGCAAAAAAAATAGCCGGAGGTAGAGGCAGGCATATTTCTGTGAGTTCCAGGACAGCTAAAGCCACAGAGAAAAAAACCCCGTCTGGGAAAAATAAACAAAAGAGACATCTATCATATAGCCCAGGTTAACCTTGAGCCCCCTCCCCCCAATCCTACTGCCTTAGACTTCTCAAATTCTTGGGTTATAGGCATGTGCTACCATATATAATTTAGACATGACTTTTAGAAACTGGATTTTTTTTTTTGAAGTTCAACGATCAGTGGGAGTAGACTATCTGAATCCAGTCGGTTTCGTGTAATTCTAGGGAGTATCCACATTGAAATTATTCAACATAATGTGTGAACTTTTAGACAGAGGGAGATTTATATTCTAGCAATAGAGTGGCTGAAAAGTTTGCTTTTTAAAGACAAAAAGTGGGAAATTGCACTGGTTGGTAAGTAGGGAGGGGCTTGCATTTGTTAAAGATGCAGAGTCTCATTTTTGGGACAATTCCTTTTTCACTGTGTGTGCCTTTGTTTTGCGGGAACCATACTTTTAACTTCAACCTGTTTTAAAAGATGAATTTGTAAAGATACTTGCAGTTAGTACTTTCCACTCTTAAAACTTGTAGGAAAAAAGACTGAGATGCTGGCAGTGACATGGCCCTTCTCTGAGTGTGCACTTAAATGGAGGTTAGAGATCAATATCCCATGGTAGATGTCAGGCACCATCCACCTTGACTTTGGAAACAGGGTCTCACTTGCCACAGGGACCCACCTGTCACCCAAGTGCTGGAATTACAAGTGTGTTCCAACACTGCTGGCTTCTCAGAATTTGTTGATGGGGTTCAGACTCAGATCTTTGTGACAGTGCTCTGTGACTAAAGTCCATTTTGATAGAAATCTACTGAGTATTTTATTTGAAGGCGTGAGTATTTTGGTTTTAGTAGGAGGAGGTATTTTTTCCATCTATTATAATTTTAAAATACTAACTGTAAATTTTGGCTTCCTTTTTATAGGTCTTGTTGCAGTAGGAGAGAGAGCACAGAAGAGGTCTGGGAACTTCTCTGCTGCAATGAAAGACTTATCAGGTGAGAACAAAACCCTTACTCATACCATGAAATCATAAAGTTGTTGCAAAGTTGGTGTAAATATTTATAATACTTGTTTTTCTCTCTACAGGCAAACATCCTGTGTCTGCCTTGATGGAAATCTGTAATAAAAGAAGGTGGCAACCACCTGAATTTCTCTTGGTCCATGATAGTGGCCCAGATCATCGCAAACATTTTCTCTTTAGGGTAAATATGAACTTATATACTAATTATTTATCAGTATTAGAGGGCTAAGGGATAGGTGTGATACAACCAGTGTTAATATTCTGTGGGTGGGTTACAGATGTGCATATATGTGGGAAGAGTGGGTTTTTTAACTTGGAGGGGTACTTTAATGTATAATTAAGAATTAGAAAATTAAATGGGGGGCATAGGCAAAATCTGGTTAATATTTTATATTTTCTAGGGGAATGGGGGGGGGTAACTAGTACTTTTGAAATGATGCGGAGACCTGCACTTATTTTGCAGTTTACTTTTAAAAATCATTTACTGCTTCTGGGCTGAGATTAATTTTAATTTGGGGTTTATAATTTGTAAATTATTTATAGAATTTAGTGAAAAAGTACAAAGCTAATAGATATTAAAGTTTGATGCTGTTCTTATTGTATGTTTTTCTTGAATAGGTATTGAGAAATGGAAGCCCTTACCAGCCCAATTGTATGTTTTTCTTGAATAGGTATTGATTAATGGAAGCGCTTACCAGCCCAGCTTTGCCAGCCCTAATAAGAAGCATGCTAAAGCCACAGCAGCTACTGTGGTTCTTCAAGCAATGGGCCTTGTACCAAAGGACCTCATGGCTAATGCCACTTGCTTCAGGAGTGCCTCACGTAGATAGATTGAGGTTTTATATTAATCATTTCAGATAATTTTACTCTGCATCACAATGTATTTCCTCCTTAATGTTGTAAATATTTCACAATTTAAGACATTGTGTAAAAAGCAATCTGTACAAACATCTCCAGGCTTTGGTTTTTGTACCATGGAAATTGTATTTAACCATACAGGGTTTTGGTATGTTTATATTGTTTACCTTAGTGATGTATTTGTTTAAGTGGCTAACATCAAAACAATTGTTTGAAGGCATCAGTAATATTCAGTGTGGAATGTTAAATAACGCTTTTATACTGTATTTTGTACTATGATGTAACTCCCCTTCCTTATGGCTAGGCTACTGTAACACTTGCCTGTAATCAGTGAAGGGCTGTGCACCTTGTACTATTTCACAATGGGTTCTGCTGGACAGATACTGGGCCAGTGTTATTAAAGTAATGAAGCAAGATCTGTTCCACAGGGCTAATGCCACCATCCCCCCCCTTAAATTTTTGTAGAGGTTATGAAAAGAAAGTGATCTGTTGTGTCATGATCAGCACTAAGTCCTGCATTCCCATTAAAGCCACTTGGATCATAAGAAGGGAGTGAATGGAAGTCCAACTAGAATTTTACTTCAGAGGCCAAGTACATATTTAGTATGGCTTGAGTTGTGATATAGTTTTACTTTGATGTGCATTTTGAATTTCAGCTACACCTAGATAGACGTAAATAAAAATGCTGTAACCAACTTACCTAATAAAAATTGGCAATCAGCCACTATTTTGTTGAATATGAGAAAGTTTAAGTTGATGTTAATTTTTTAGGGTCTGATAGAATATTCATGTGTATTACAGTGGTATTCATATGCTATGTCTCTAAACTTTATTTTCAAAAGCTTAAGGCCCAAATACAACCTTCTCTGGAATAAATGTGGTGTCTTATTTTCTGGCTTTATGGAACACATATAACTAAGTACTATTATTTGTTACCCAATACTTGTGATTTCTATGCACGTTTATTTGAAAATGCTGAATTTTACACACACATGCAAACACACAGACTACCTGTAAGCACAATGAGTACTAAGTTGCCCAGACTGACCATCCAACACTTCTGTCTGACTCGACAGAACAACAGTGTGAGTGGATACCGGAGAAATCATTAATGACAAGGCTGCAGTCAGGTCTACATTTCCCAAGTCTCCAAAGAACCCACTACTAGTCTAAGGACCATCAGTCTCAATGGATTAAGTGCTGTGTGTGTACATATATATATATGTACACACACACACAGGTAATCTTAATGCAACACTTTTAATTCAGTTCTCTACTCCGGTTACAATCAAGTTGCAGATATAGAATTGTCATTCAAGTTATCTGAGGTTTAAGGAAACAGCTCGCATCTCCTGAACTGAAAATGTATGAAAATAACAAAAGCAAAATGTTGGTTTTAAAACCTAAAAACTAATGCATTTAATAATAAAAGTTCATATAAAAAGTCAATGCTTAAAAACATTTCAGTATTTTAAAACATAGTCTTCCAAAATGAACTTTAAAGAGCCAGAGACCTAAGAATCATCAATTTCCTTCCTTGCTAGGAAGCTTTTCCTCAGTTTCCCTTTAGGCTTACTTTGGTGTTCAGGATCTCCAATTAAAAATGTAGTCATTCATTTCCACATTCCTTAAGGATGACTTCCCCAGTAGTGGTATTTGACTGAGCTGCTGCAGGGTTTTGGGGTGCAGCCCACAGTTAGCAAGGTCCTTAGGAGCATCTTTCTGCAGAAATACAAGCACACATCCATAAACACATTAGTTCTTCCACACCGAGTTTTTAACTAATCACCATACAGACTGGTAAGTAAAAGTCACTTAATCATGGTTACAAGACCTTCAAATGTGACAGGTACCAGGTCTATTATGGACTGTTGTTAAAGTCTAAAGATGGTTAGAATTCAAAGGAGAGCAGTTAAGTAGGATGGGGAGACAGAGTTGGGGTATCCAGAACCCACAGAAATGCTGGGCAGGCATGATGGTGCACCTTTAACTCCAGCCTCTGAAGATGGAACGTGAAGCAAGCTAGCTGTTGAGACTAGGCATGTCAGTGAATTCTGGTTTTGAAAAGGCCCTGCCTTAAAAAGGGGGAAAGCAATATAGCTTGAGCCATCAGTTCCAGGTTCCAGGTGTTTATGTGCAGTCCCCACTGCTGTGCCCAAAGCACATACAAAACTGCAAATAACATACATGAAAAACATGTAAATAATACATGAAAAACAGGGAAAAGCTAGCTCTAGTAAATTGCATTCCCATAAACTACAAAGGAATCAGGCATTACTAAACTTCAGTTGTGAGGGCAGTAAGTACTTTTTTAGGTTTGGAAAGTTTTAGTATTGCCTGATTTCATAAATTTTATGATGTACATGTGGCTATTCCTTAATTCATAATTTGCTTTCTAACTTGATACAAATCTGGCGTATCATAAGTGACATTTCTCCCAGCAAGAGGACACAAACTACAATTGAGACTACTTACTCCATGCGGTTCCTTCTCCAGTGGCAGGCAGACATTGAATGCAGCAGTTGGCTCATGTGCATACATCCCAGCAGAGAATGACCCTCTCTGTGAAGATCTGAGTAGCATGATCACAGATTGCAGAGCATGAGGCATGACAGGACCTGTGATCTCCAAACTAAACTTGTCTCTGTACCCAGAAAGATCTTGTGTCTTTACATTAATGCTTCGTGCCTTCAGAAAATTGAAAGAAAAAGGCAATTAGGATCATAACTCAATCTGTCCCTTAGCTTAAGATGTGGCCAGTGCATTTTTAATCAGGGTTTCTTCTGATAGGAAACACGAACTACTTTTGTTTCCTGAGATGGCTACATAATACTTAACATGTTGCTTCACATTCCCTGTTTTTGAGATCTGTAACTACTTGTGGGTATGTGATTGCATTGGTACATAAAACGGGATTAGGCGACTTAAATGACAAATGAAGGGTACACCAAAATGTTGCCAATTATAATTTATCCAGTACGGGGGGGGGGGGGGGGGGGCGGGGAGGGAAGAAAACCAAAATTCAGTGCGCACAGAGGTTTAGGCCTGTAATTCTGGCACTTGGTAGCAAAGGGTCAAGAACTCAGGGTCACCCTCTGCTACAGTGAGTGTGAGGCTAGACTGGATTATGTCATATGATAAAGTCATAGGATAGATACATATAAAGTACACATATTCTGAGAAAGGGTCTCAGGTAACCCAGGTGATCATCCTTCCACCACACGAGCTCTTACATAGTATTTATTTTTAACTACTGGGAATGTAGGTCAGCATACAATGTGTCAATATGCCCCAAACCCTGGCTCAGTCTTAGTACAGAAAAAACAAAGTGCAAAGCATACTACAACAATTAAAAAAATTCCCAAGTATAAATTTTAGGCAGGGGGTGTGTGTCTCACTATGTAGCCCTGGTTTTTCCTGAACTTACTGAGATCTGCTTGCCTCTGCCTCCCAAGTGCTGGGATTAAAGGTGTGGTCACCACATTGTGCCTGGTACCTGTGGGGGTAAGAGGGCATCAGACCCCCTTGGAGCCAGACTTACTGATGGCTGTGAGTCATGGTCATGTTGGTGATGGGAACTCAAGTTGGGTCTTCTACAAAAGCAGCAAATGCTCTTAAATACTGAGGCATCTATCTCCCTAGTCCCTAGGATTACTTTTTCAAAACGGGGAATTTGAGCTAGGCATAGTGGCACATGCCTTCAATCCCAGGCCTCAGGAGACAGAGTGGTCTATGGAGGCAGTTCCAGGGCAGTCAGGGCTACACAGGAGTGAAACCCTGTACTAAGAACCGCCTGCAGGCGAAGGACATCCTTGCTCACCTTAAGCATTTGCATCGAGGCACCTCGGAAGGCTACGGGGGATAAAAGGGTTGGAGGGAGGCCTGCCTGTGCACCGGAGGTAGCAACTAAGCTCTTGCAGTTGATCAAAAAATTGAGCAACGTGAAAGTGTTGAGTCCTTTCACCAGTACAACAGATTCAGGTCTGTGATCCATTTGTACTTCAGTTTTTTCTCTAAGTCTGAAAATGACAATCAAGGAAAGAGCAAAAAAAACCAAAAAACAAAAAAAGTACACGAAAAAAAAAAAAACAACAAAAATCCCACATCAAGCTGCCTTGATTCCATATGTTTGGGGCTCCTCATCTCATTTCACAAATCTAAATGAAATGCTGACCATTTGAATAAGGTAGATAGAAGCCAACAAAAACTTTGCACATGATCAACGTGGACTGTCTTTACTTAAAACAGTGGTAAACCATTAACTCGATAACAACAGAAAGGATACAGCTTGACGGAGATCATGTCTGGCTTTTTAATTTGATCTTGCACACCTATCTCTTCCAGCCAAGAAAAGCTTTCCTCTTCATCTTCATCGCTGGCCGCTGGCTCCCTAGGAGACTGCTGGTTAGAAGCATATTTACAGAGAGGGCGCTCTGACAGCTCCCTCAGAAACTGGGGACTGTGGAAAGCCTACATAAGCACATACTCCTCAGACTCCAGGTTTGCTTCTCGTCCTTTCTTCTTGCGGCCACTTTCTTCTAGCAAAGGCAGAGAGAATTCAACACCTGCATCGGGAAAGTAAACATAACTCAGTTATCTTCAATTACCACGAGAGTCCTACTGCTGGGGACACAGATGTGGCTCTCTATTAACCAGGACTCATCTTTATCCTTCCCTCCCTTTCCTGATCCATAATGGATGGGTTAACCCAGTTTTAAAATTATTAAAGAGGAAGGTTAGATAATTGGAAATGTCAGAGAATTGAGAACAGGTGAGATGATTTAGTGGGTGGAGTTCACTGTCTAGCACTCACATGGTGAAGAAATGAGCTGTCCTAACCTCCACATGTGTGCCACAGTATGTGTGTACCCACAGAAACACATATGCACACAAAATAAATACATAAATGTAAAAATGTTTAAAAAAGCAAAATCAATTCAAAAGACAGTGACTTTGGGGACCTACTATGTACATTACTTCAGAGATCAGAAAAAGTAGCACAACTGACTTCCAGTCACATTTAAGAGACAGCTTTACTAATAGGACAGAAAAAAGAACTCTGAAAAAGATGAACTAAATCTCTTAAAATAATATTGATAACCAATTTGTAAAAGACAAAAAGTGTTTTTGTTTTTTCTTTAAAAACATCTTATGTGTATGGGTGCTTATGTCTGTGTACCTCTGTGCATCTGGTGCCGAGAGGCCAGCAGAGGGCACTGGATCTCCTGGAACTGAAATTCCAGACGGTGTTAGCCACCATGTGGCTGCTGGGAATCAAACCTAGAGCCTGTGTAACAGCAACTATCTCTCCAGCCCCCAAAGTTCAGCATTTGGGGCAAGAGGGACCCCCAACTTTAAATCTAAACTAGTACCTTCATTTTTCATAGCTTCTCTTAAACCTCTAGTTGTAGGAGATACAAGTGCTGTGACCACATCACTTCCTGCTAATCCTGCTGCCCGGAACAGGACAGTAAACTGATAGGTACAGACGTAGAAAAAGGGGCAAAGCTTTGTCTTCAGCAGATTATACAAAGAAGTAAAACTCACAGACCTACAAAGCAAAACAAGGTTTTTACGTGTTAAAACATTTTAAACTTAATTCTGACAAGTAGATAAAAACCAACATAAATTTTCTGAGTACTGAATGGAGCTTCTGCAGCTGCGTGAGACTTGTTTGAGGACTGCAACTGGCATGGGTGCTGCTGCTGACTCTTCCGTACTGTGTGGGTGGGGGAAACACAGGTTCATTCAAGCAAAACTCCTGACTGGCTGCAGACTCTGAGCCACTTCTATGGAAAAGCATCAACAGACAGGGAGCGGCACTGAAGGCTTAGACCTGTCTATGTACTTATACGATACAGACGTCAGACATTTGACAGGGATAAGGCTGGGAAAAAAGCAAAAGGAGTTCGCGCGGGTCATTAACAGCCCCTGATGAAGTCTAGAAGCAAACAGAGCCGTTAGTCATACTAGAGAATCCTGCTACTGCATATTACCTCTGGAATGCACATGTCTTCTGGTCTTACCAGTCACTCAGCAGAGTTTGTTGCAGAGTTTCATCATTTGACCATGGACTGGGCTTTCCAGTCATCTTCTTATCAGCTCCAATTCGAGGGAAAAGTGGCAGCCATGAAAAGGCAGGGTGAAGCCAGTAGACAAGGGTTTGCTGGAAGGCACAACGGAGCTCAGTGGAGAGCTTGGGATCCTAGACTCCAGAGCAGAGAGTGGACATTGTTACTCATCAGGAAGATAAAAGTTCACGAGAGACACTGATATATCATTCAATCTAATTTTAAAAGATTAGCTGGGAGTAGTGGCTGAACACCATTAATAGGAGAAAGGCAGATCTCTGTGAGGCCAGCCTGGTCTACAGTGAGCCCCAGAAAAGCCAGAGCTATGTGGAGACCTTGTCTTAAACAATCCCTCCCCCAAAAAAATATTTTTATTTTTGGTTTTTCGAGACAAGTGTTTCTCTGTGTAACTGCTCTGGTTGTCCTGGAACTCACTCTACAGACCAGGCTGGCCTTGAACTCAGAGATCCGCCTGCCTCTGCCTCCTTTTTTATTTTTAACTGTATGTGTGCCTGCAGTTTGAACACAGGCTCTCTGGAAAGTGTGTTCCCTTAACCACTGAGCCATCTTTTCAGCCCAGTCTAAGAATTTTTAATGCTTTTTATGAGGAAGCATCAGCAACTGTCATGGAGGTTAAAATGTAGTCTGTCTTTCTCTCTGGACAGCATACAGTGTGTGGAACCATGCATCAGAAAAAGCACATCTGCACAGACCGGTCTCCTGTCGCTGCCTTTCCTGAAGCATTCAGATGATGGAACAAGGGGTGTGTGAAGAGAAAGCAGTGTGGATTTTAAGGATAGCTCCTTCTACACTTAGCCTGAAACACCAATATAGACTAGTGGGCTCAGAGGTTATAAGAACCCGACACCCATACAACAAGTTGGGATTTTCCTGTGAATGCCTTTAACAGTAGCACTGAGGAGGGTAGAGACAGGAGCACTTGGGTCTGCTGGTCATCAGGCTAGCTAAAATATTTGAGTTCCAGACTCATAGAAACCCTGCCCGAAAGAGAGAAGACGACACAGGACTATCGCCTTTGGCCTGAGTGAGCACGCACTCACACTTGCATACACACACGCCTTCCCACCCAGGCTACTTCACTTCAGACTTACCTCTACACTCTGGGGTAAAGTGACTTCTGTGGCCCTACAATGCTGGACAAGACCTTGGGCTTCTTCCTGTGCTTTTAAATGATCTGCCCAGGAAAAGGGGTGAGAGGAGGTGAAAAGGAGTCGGGTTTTAATACTCCAGTCCGCAGGTAACTCAGCACCTTCTGAAGAAGTTGTATCTGATCCAGAGAATGGTACATGTTGACTCTTAGAAGACAATGAACACAAAAATTAGAATTTCCATAAAATTCTTTTAATAGAAAGATCATAGTTATTCTACTCCTGATCACTAAATGTCAAAATTTAGGGATGGTCTAAAATTAAAAAAAATATTCCACCTGTGAACTCTGAAAGGAGGTAAACCAAGCTACCAAGAGAGGACTCCGGCCAGGGACTCTGCAGGTAATGGCACCTGCCTAAGCCTGAGTGTCTGAGCTGGGAGGACAAAACTGGCTCCTGAGACCAAGCAATGCATAAACTAAGTGAGTAACAAGCTCAGGAAGGAGGGGTCACATCTCACCAGGTAAACAAGAAGCTGGGGAGGATGGGTCACATTTCACTTTTTAGTTTTACAGTTCTATCTAGTACTGCAGACACGAAGGAGAAATGTCCTAGGATTTAACAAGTATGAATCACAGTGACTAGGACCAAGGGTTAAGCAACCTTGGTAGAGCTAAAATGGCTTTAAAAAACATCTCCTGAAGTATTAAAAAAAAAAAAAAGGAAGGAAGGAAGAAAGTACAGACAACCCGCTGTTCAAGTCCATATGCTCCACATCCTAAGGATTCCCTCAGGGAGCAGCCTAATAAAATATCCTGCCAGGGGAGTTGTCTCTGGAAGGCTGTGTGGAAGCCGGAATGGATCCTGTGAGCTCTTTCAGTCTGTTCCCATTAGGACAAACTATAACGTGTGGGAGCCACCAATGGAGCGCAGACTGCTAGCTCAACATGCAGGACGCACACAGCAGGCTTTGGCCACCACAGCCCATACTTATTATCACAACACTAGTATGGAAACGACCTCTCCAACTTCTGTTTTTGATTTGAAACCAGGGTCTCCTGTGTTCCAGGCCTCAACCGTCTGCGTATCTGAGGATGATCTCAAACTTTCGACAGTCTTGCTTTCACTGCCATCATGTCCCACATTCATGTGAGGCTGGGGCTCCAACCCCGAGAGAGGTCCCTGCATGCTGGGCAAACATTTCACAGACCAAGGAATAGTCCCAGACTTTAGGTTTGTTAGTGAAACTAAGTTTCCAAGCGAAATGCCACTGAGAAGTGTTTCTTAGAACAGACATTTCAATCATATTTAAGAAGCAGTACCTGGGCTAGGCCATCAAAAATGGCTCAGCAGGTAGAGGCACTTGCCTCTGAGCTAGACTGACTACTTGAGTTCAACCCAGGTACCCCACATGGAGGAAGGACTGACCTCCAAATACACAACTACGGCACACACAACAAACGCAGCTTTAAAAAGTACCTGCGACAGTTCGATGACAGTTCTTTCATGAGACGTTTCCTCCCACGGCAAATTATTTTCCCCATTAGAATCTAAAAGCTGAGGTTAAAAAAATAAGTTGTCTTTAAAACTTAAGCGATGAGGGAACTTGCTTTACATACAGAAGGCCTCACCTGGCACCCCAGTCTCTGAGAGTGGGGACTCAAATCCATATACTACCAACGTTTCTTTCCTCCACCTCAGGGGGAAGGGACAGACCGAAACATTTAATAACTGATAATTCATTAATCTTAGACCAAAAGAGATAAACGCTTGTAAATTCTGACCCGATTCATCCTCAACAGTCCTCCATGTCCACATTTATTTCGAGTGCTCGAGAAAAAGGAGGACCTGAAGGAAGGTGAGAAAGCAGATTCTTGTGCCTGCCCATGCGAGCTGCCTTGCAGGATGGGGTGTTCTGAGGACTTTACGAGCTATCTTCCAGGGCAGCCCCCCACCCCCACCCCAGGACACCGGGCTGCGGCGGCTGTTCGCGCCCATTCCCACCACTGACCACCGGCTGCCCGGGGCGGAGACTCACCGAGCCCGGAGCTCCCTGCGGACCCCGAGACGGCTGTTCGCGAGCCTCGTCGGCGACCCGCGGCCGGTTGTCCAGGCGGGCGAAAGGGTTCCTGCGGGCGACGGTCGCGGCGCCGCCTCTGCCGCCCGAGCTCGGGAAGGAGCGCAGGGGCAGCCCGGCCGCAAGCGCCGCGCGGCGGGGCGTGGGCTCCGGTAGTGCGGAAGGCACGGCGGCACCGTGGTTCCGAGACCTTTTCCGGCGGAGCCGCACAATCTCCGGCGGCCTCTTGAAGCTGGGCGAGTAGCCGGGAACGGACACAGCCATGGCGCAGCGCGGAGGAGTCCCCGCAGCCCTGCCGGCGCTTCCCGCGCGCCCCGGCCCCGCGCTGCTCGCGGACTGGACGGCCCCAAGGCCCCGCCCCGCCGCGGGCCCGCCCCGTTGGAGCATGCGCACTTGGCCGCCCCCACCCCGCCCAACTGATTTGTCGGTGGCCGCTTCCGGCCGGGAGTGCACCCCCAGCAATTCGGCCGCGAGGCGGGGCGTCGCCGAGAAAACGTCACCCAGCGCGCATCACCCCGGAGGGCACGAAAAGGGGTCGCCACTACTGCAGCGGGGACGGCGTCAGCCCCGGCTACGGAGCCCGAGTGCAATCAAACAGCACACTTGAACTGTGGGGATGGGCAGTTCAAGTGCCGAGAGTCGCGGCAGTGTCATTCTGAGAGAGGCGGTGAGGGCCGAGGCCTTGCTGTATCCCGCTGCTCTGAGCACCCACAGAGCTTCAAGCTAGACTCAAGCCAACTCTTCCATCCTTGTCCCCCGTGCCCGGCCACCCCAGCCCTCTATGCAAATGCTATAACAGGACCAGGTACTATGATTCTGTATGATCCTGGAGAAATTCAGAGTGAATGAGTATTTAAAAACAAATTTTAAATGCCAATGGATTACTCTGAAATCGGAAAATACACTCAAATGCTAAAATAATGGCAGCAAAGGCTTGTTAAGAAAGGTGTTTAGAATGGAGTTAATACAAAATCAAATAACATTTTCATGGTATAGCAAAAGCTTGTGAGGATGTACTGACAGGATAGTGTGGCTTTTGCTGAAAGCAGTTTTCTTTATGGAAAGAATTTCATAGCAGAGGCAAATGTATAGCTACAATAACAAAGGTTTTTGGTACATCCCTTTCAGATGTTAAAAAAGACCTGGATTGTTTGCACATTAATTTTGCAAGTATTTTTCAAATATGTCAAATAACCAAACATCTTATTATGGTAGGAAAACAGGCTTAAAAATAGAAAAACTTGTTTGATCTTCCTTGATTTTTCTCAACAATTTCCAAAGAAAACTGGCTTCATAAACTGGTATGGGTGCATCCAACTGAGTTCTGAGAAAGAAAATTAAAATTGAACAACTTGCTTTTTTCTTTCTTGATTTTTCTGAACAACTTCCATGGAAGCTTTTGCCTCATACAGTGGAATGGGTTCATCAAGTAGCGGTCTGAGGAGGAAGAACGACATCAGAAATGTCAGGCACAGGCGCGCAGAATACACAAGAGGCAGCAGCTCACACATTGGGCTAGAGTCTGACTGTACTCTAAATATCCACAACAGCTTGGTGGTGGTGCGTGCTGTTAGTCCAGTACTGGGGAGGCAGATGAATCTGAGTTCCAGACCAGCCTGAGTAAGCCAGCCATCAAAATAAATAAATGAAAATTAAAAAAAAAGAGAAATCCAAACAAAATTACAAACTTATTCATTAATATTTTTATGGTTCGAAAGAATCCTTTCCTTCCTCCTCCCTTCCCTTCCTCCTTCCTTTCCCTCCCTCCTTCCTTCGCGCTGAGAGTTCTGGAGACTCGGAACTCACTAGGCTGGCCTTGAACTCACAGAGATCCACCTGTTTCTGCATCAGAAGTGCTGGCATTAAAGGCGTTTGCCACCACGGTCTGTTTATTTATTTATTTAAGACCGGATCTGGCCTGTTAGATAGAACCCCTGATCCCTGCCTCATCCCTCCAGGGCTGTGAATACAGGTGTGTTCCATAACATTCGGTTAAAACATTTAAGTTTGGAAAGATAAATATACTACTTTACTTTAAAGTGACACCAAACCCAATTAAAACAAACATGGTACTTTTTCCACTTGTCAAGCCATGAATGATTTCAATTTGTTTGGCAAGAGGGTTGAAGGAAAGGGAAATGGGAGATACAGACTAGAACTGTGGGAGAAAAGGCACAAGATAGAAATCCGCGGGACACTGGTGCACAACCAGACACACTCTGCTCAGTGAAAGAGCAGCTGTTGATCTAAGCTGAAGCAAAACAGCGGCACTAGGCATACCCCAGAGCTGGAATAAAGCAGATGGCTACTTCTTGAGAACAGAAAAGAACAATCATTTAGTTTTGTTTTTTTTTTTGCATACCTGAAAATACCAGCTGATAACTTCTCCATCACGTCTCTTAAGATGCGTAACTGGAGGCTTGTTAAGGTGACAGCTATTAGAGAGGGGACTAAGTAAGTCATCCAGTAAACACAGGATGCTTGCCTCATCGCTTTTATTTTTCTTTTTTTAAAAAAAGTTTGTACTTTGAAATTCAAAGTGGTATTACAGCAACTAGAAACTGTCAATCACTTCTAAAACAAAGAGATCTGAGGTGTTCCAGGAGCACAAACTTCTAAAGACAAGTGTTGAGAGCAGCGACGGGCAGTAAGCAGTGACCGAGACTATCTATCCTCCAGGGGCGGTTAATGGAGTAATACATGGCTTTCATTCCTGCATTATGCGTGGTCTTCAGCACTTACATCTCTCACAGGAGGTAAACATATACCAGTTAATTTGTTGATATCAGGTCAAACTTGTTTGCATAAATTTCTTTATTTCAAAATTTGTTTCAAAAAGTATGGAGGAAAGCTAATTAATATGTATCTATTTATGGTAGTTTGAATGAAAAATGTCTCCCATTGGTTCTTGGTGCCTAGTTGGTTGTGTTCTGGAAGTTATGGAACCTTTAGTTGGAAGTACTTTGAGGGGGGTGGGCTTTGATGGTTTTATGGCCTCATCCCTGCTTCCTGTTCTCGTTAACCCAGGTGCATGCTCCTGCTGTGACTCTCCCTGGAACCGGAAGCCAAAACAAGCCCTTCCTTTTGTAAGTTGCTTTTGATCATGGTTTTATGCATAGCATCAGAAAAGTCACTAATATACTATGCTACCAGCAATCAAAAGAATATCCACATGAAGAAAAACTAAACAGAAATAAGAAGACTCTAGAGAGACGGCTCATTAGTAAGATCACTTGCTGTGTTTGCAGAGGACCAGGTTCGGTTCCCAGCACTCAGTGGCAACTCACAAGTGTCTGTAACTTGAATTTCAGGGGACCTGACACCCTGGTCTCCTTGGGGACCAGATGCACAGACAACGTGCAGGCACTGACTCATATACAGACATATACACATTAGGCAAAAATAAAATAAAATCTAAAAAATCAATTTTCCAGTACTTGTATTTGTAAAATTCAAGTATAATAAGAGTTAAGTGTGCTACCTCTTAAGGTGCCATACAATGCCAGTTTAAAACAAAAGAAAATATTCTGCCTGTCTCATTACCTCCGATTCAGAACCGAGTTAGACCCTGGGGTGTGATTGTGATTCTGTCTCTTGCTACATGTACCCTTCTCACAGTCTTTCCATCTGTGAAATGGGGCTACTTTACTCAGACCTCATAGACTTAATGCTTCAATAAATGTAGGTACCTGTCACTCTGTCAGAGGCGCTCCAGAAAAGACCACAGCTAGCTATAATCTCACTGTCGCAGTGGAAGAGTTTATGTGTAGAGTCCAAGCCAGCAATTCAAATTAGTAGGAAAAAGGATATAAAGGTATTTTCCCTGTTGTACGTTTGACAGATTCCAAACTTCATCATTAAGGAAAGCCACCGTCGCTCCCTTGAGGAAAAGGCAATGGCTGTCTGGAGGATCCAGCTTTGACGGAGGAAACAAAGACAAAACAACTACTATTACATTGAACAGTAGAAAGGTGCTCACACCAGAAAACCTTTAATGCAAATTAAACATTGTAGAAGCCACAAACTCAGCTACAGCTTTAAGAGCTGCTTATTAACTGTTACATTTCCTTCCTATGTCATGACGAAATAGCTAGGACAGGGCAGATGCAGGGTCATTTGGAATCCCGGGGATAAAATGGTGTGGCTTCTGGCTACTATCAGTCACCTTGGTATGTTGGAAAGTCTAGACTGGTATGTTAGATCATAGTATTTGTATATTAAATATGATACATATACTCAATTAGAAGTCTGTTAAAAATATAAGCTTGGGAGGTGATTCATTTATACACACAGTAATATCAATTTGGGTTATTAAATTATGATATTATTTATAAATATTACAATTACTAAGTTACCCAAATTTTTAGGGCCCCAGAGATGGCTCAAGTTACCAATGTGCTTGCTACACAAACATAGGGACCTGAGTTTGAATACCAGTATGCATGCAAAAGACCATGCAGCAGTGTGCATCTGTAATCTCACTGCTGGAAATGCAGAGACAGGAGGATATTTGGGTCTTGATGCCAGCCAGTCTAGCACAATGAGAGATCCTCTTTCAGAAGGTAAGGTGGAGAATGACAGAGGGAGATTCGTTCATCTCTGGCCTCCCTTGCATGTATATGTGCATCAACAGATAAAAGTATAATTTGAAATACAGTTAAAAATCCAGAGGCCACTGTGAACAATGAACTAAATACAATTATAACTCATTCTAACTGAATGGACTTCCCTGCCCAATAGAATTTGACCAGTATGCACTTAACATAGAAAAGACGCTATATTCCTTTAAACATAACTTATGACTGTTCTTTACTAATGACATTCCCTTGGTGTAATAACAAGGCTTTATTATTTCTGACAATACCTGAAGGTTTTCTTCTGTTGTTACCCAATGGCCTCCAACACCAAGAAGTGTGATGATGTCATGCTTATGTGGGAGTTGGAATTTTACAGCTGGTTCATCATCTTTACTATATAATCTCACTTACAAGTGAAGAGTTAAAAAAGAGAGAAAAGGTATATTTTATAAAAGTCTGACAAAATTTATTTTGCATATCAGTCTTTTTTATATAGTAAATAACATTTTTCTTAGTAAAAGGCAAACTCAGTTAATTTAAGCTACAGCAAATGTACTCTAGACTTAATTAAAATTAAATGCAAACAAAATAAATTTTGATTTGGAAGCACGCAAGGTAATGCACTACACAGCTATATCTTATGCTAATTCTAACAACCATAGCTTCATACAGTGGGAGAATGGCTGTCTCTTTAAAACACCGAGTCACACACACTGAAACACAACTAAAAAGTGACCACACTAAAGTACTATTCACTTCTACTGATGATTTTTGAGTTCATTTCAAACCCTGGAAAACACATATTAGAAAGGAACACACACGATGGCTACAGTCGTACTCACAATAAAATACAAATACAACTGTTGTGCGGCTCACAACACTAATCCTTCGGGAGTAATGGTGCCACCTAAATGTGCACAGATTAGGTGTGAGATAAATCCAAGTTAAATTAAAAACGTCCAAGAGAGTGAATGGTACATGCTTGTTTTCCCCAATAGAGGGTACAGGAGTCGCCCATCCTACAGAGATTGGCCATGCAGTACAAGTGGCTCTGAAATGGGGGGCAGGTGTGTATTATGGGGACCAGACAGTATACTGATCATGGTGACATTCACCTTTTGCTGTTTAAGCTTCAGTGCCTAAGGCTTAAAAGGCAAGCTCCCTCTTCCAAGGACATTGAGGTTGGCAATCAAGTGAAGGAAATATACTTAAAATAGATGAGTTTTTAATTAAAAACAAACCCTTAAATGAGACTTCCAATTTAATGAATGCCGTAATAATTAGTTCCCAGTTATACCCTGTCTGCAATTCATCCAACTAAAAGCATCACATCATCAACTAGAAGCTCACTGCATAGGTACCCACCTCCTGCATCTATGACAATATCTACTCCCAGGCCGCCTGTTTCCTCCAGACAGCTTTCAGCCACATGGCCTTTCCCATTAGAGACATCAATCACACGGGCTGTAAAGGACAGGAAGTCAGGCAATTGTACTGTTCTCTATGTGATGAACACAAGTCAGGAGGAAGGAAAGAAAAGCCAGTAAGTGTCTGTCTTCTGAAACAGCTTCAACAATTAATACATTTAAAGGAAAATGTCAATTCTGCTTAAACTTTTTCTCAAGGGATTCAATATTGACTGAAAAGTATCAATCTAAAGGAGAGGGTTGACATATTCAGTAAAATGAACACGAGGACATTTGGAGCTACGGCTGTTCTGTTGACAGAGGCCAGCTGTCCATGAACACAGGCTAGATGGCCAGGCCCGGGAACCCGAGGATGGGGCCCAGACACAGCACATACATCAGGACCAGTGAGAGCAGATACTTTGTTAAGCTGCTTGAGATTTCATAGTATGCAGAGCTGTGTCGTGTGCTTGTATACTATGGTACGCCCTCAGAAGCTCGTCATCCTTTCTTATTCATGGACCCCCCCCCCACCCAAAACAAAGACCAATCCTGAAAGTAAGGAAAAGGAATATGACTGGTTTGGGCAGAGTTAGGGAAAACCAAGCTAATTTTAATTGGTCGCATTAATTAAATATACAGACATACACATAAACATACTTCTTTTGTGGTGCTAGGTGAGGGGTGTGGACAAACCCTAGCTCTATGGCTGACAAGAAAGCAGCCTAATACTGAGCGGTCTTTAGCTCCTCAGAGAATTACAGCAATAGAAAAATGAATTATGTTAATAGTACAACACAACTACAGAGAGTTGAAAAAAGTTTCTCAGAATTTGAACCAATGAGGATATATAATTTTATTTCCAAGCTGTGCAGGTTGGATGCCCACTCTAACAGCAGTCTGTGACTCTCTTGGGTGAGGTGGGCAAGAGTGGAGAGCAGGGACTGGGAGGGCAGAGGCAGGGGCTGGGGGGAGCTCAGAAGTTAAGGCAGTCACTGCTCTTCCAGAGCACCTGAGATGCGTTCCAGGGTTCCAGGTTCCCGGCACCCATCAGGAAACTAACAATGGCGTGAAAGCCCAGCTCTCGGGCATCTGATACCATTTTACACTCTGCCAGCACCAGCACACATGTGACATACATACACACAAATGAAAGTAAATCTTAAAACAAAAAACCTTTTAAAAAAGGCACTGGAGCAATCCAGGAAGGGCAGAATTAGCCACTAGGAAACATTTCCAAGAATACAATTTTAGCGCTCTTCCTCCATTCTAGTTCCTCTCCCCATCTAGCTGTGCTGGAGATTAAACACGTTTTCATACATGATAGATAGGATTTTTAGTGAGCTACAACTGAGAACTCCATTCTCTTTCCTCTTTGTGTGTATATGACCATTTGTTGATGTATGTAGGTGTTGTACATGCACATACATGAACTTTAGTGTGGAGGCCGAAAGTCCACACTGGAAATGCTCCTCAACTGTTCCCCATTAAACAAATCAAACAACCCCCACCTATTTTGCATTACATTTATAGTGTGCAGATGTGCACAAGTGTGCCACAGCCCATGTGGAGCTCAGAGGACAACTTCCCACCATGTGGGTCCCAGGGAAGGTACTTGGTGGCAAGTGCCTCTGCCCCTGCGCCATCTCACTGGCCCATCTACATCTGTATTTATCCAAAGAGGGTTTCCCATAGAATCTGGCTCGTGACTTGACCTACTTTAGCTAGCCAGCTTCCCCAGAGATCCTGTCCAGTCTCTACCTCCTGAGTGCTGATTACAGTTACATGGATTCTGAGGATCTAAATCTCATCTTCCAGTTTGAGTGGCAATTGCTTTAACCACTGTGCCACCTCCCTCGCCCCAATTCTGTTTTCAAATCTTCACTCTCCATTTTTCTCCTTCTTCAGCTCTTTATTACCTTCCTTCTATTTTTGTTTATCTTTGTCAGATGCAAAATGTAACAATGGAGCTAGCTTGGCTGTAATGTTACAAGGGGATGGACTAAAATCTTGTTCCAGTACTCTGTCCTGTCTGTCTCTTGGAGAAATTAGTTTGGCTCTTTGGAAGCTACTTACTGGCTGTGCAGTGAGGTACATGGCTCTTCCCAGACTGCTCTTTCCCCTCTCTCTGCTTGTTTTTGCTACTCATCCATCACTGTCTCCACTCTAGCCTCTACCTATTCTTTTTCCCACTTTCCTCCAGTGCCATCTTTTCTTTCTTTAGATAGGTGGAGATTGCCATCCTCCACCATGGCCTGGACATCTCCTGCTGATCGGATGTGTTTCTATGGATACGGGTTTTACAGAAGACTGCAGTGTTAGAGGCTGAGAAATGCACAAAGTGATGAGGAATGCATTGACTGGCTGGCTGGCTGAAATAGGAGATGCAACTGGTGTTTCTAAATTGTATCAAAGCTGATTTAATTCAGACTTAGTTAAGTTGATAACCATAGGACGAAGAAGAAAAACAGATGTACAAGGCTGTAGGTTTAGAACCTTAAACAGTGCACTGCCGAGCATGCATGAGGCCTGGGTTTGATCACCGGCACCATGTAAGCCAAATACACAAATATCAGTCATAAGAAACTTCAGGAGAAAACCGTATTACTTAAGTAAATCTGGGCTTAGCAAACACACTAAGAACATTTTAAGACTTATTTTTAGTTTGGATTCTATACTTTGTTTTACCAGTGTTAAGTTTTTTTATTTTTCCTTTTTGAGACAGGATCTCAATCAGTAGCTCAGATTGGCTTTGAACTCATGATTCTCACTCCACAGAGTGTTGGGGTTCCAGGCAAGAGACACCATGCCTGGCTACTGGTTTTGCATTCCCTGCAAAATTTCGTGTTTTAAATGGTCTGTACTGAGTAATGTAACAGGACACGCACCTACAGGAGGCCGAATCCTTTCGAGATGTTGCTTGTCTTCCAGGCAGCATGCTGTGGAAATCACCTTGGCTCCTCTATGGTGTGCTAACTGAATTGCTATTGTGCCAAATGCCTGTGTGGAAATAGGTTTCAGTGGTCCATAGATACAGATGAGAAGACATACCTAATACACTTCATAGACCATTTAACACATATAATCCTTTGGCATTGTTTTAATATATTTTAAAATGTTACATAATAGAACAAAGAAATAATATTCTTAAACTTAGCAGGGCAGGCATCTGACATATTCTTTCAGAGCTGCAAGGTCAGACTGTAACCACATATGGAAGTCCAAGGATGGAGGTCTGTGCTCAGAAACATGGCCATGGAGAACAGTAGCCCATAACGGCATCGTTCGTCTAAGCTGGTGCCACAGCACGGACGGGAATGTCATCACATCACTTTATAGATCATGGCACTTCAGAGGCACCATCTCTGGATCCACAGGTAAGAACTCTCCTGATGTTGGCTATCAGACTACAGTCAATGGTGAGGATATTTCTGCCCCCATCCCAGAAATGTAGGTTTTAGCAAGTTTGTTAAAAAATAAAACTATGATTTTACCCTAAGTTCTACAATTTTGTTTTGTTTTTTTGAGACAGGGTTTCTCTGTATAGCTTTGGTGGCTGTCCTGGAACAGGAAAGCAGACCAGGCTGGCCTTGAACTCACAGAGATCCACCTGCCTCTGCCCAAGTGCTGGGATTAAAGGCGTGCATCACCACCGCTTGGCTGCACCTTTAAAAAAAATGGATCAAGTAGCATCTTATGGGTTTTTTTGGTGACACGTGTATTACACTTAACATGAGCACAGTTGAGGCTTGTATATGACCCACCTGATAAATGCCAACACCCTTACTAGCTAAGTAAGCATTAGGCTGTAGTTCAGAGTTGGCCGGGATGTCTACAGTAACTCCAGAGACCCATGAGCTATTTCGGACTCTGTCCAGTAGTAATGGATAAAAAGGCTTGGCTGGGACATAGCATAATGGTAGAACACTTGCCTAGTATGCACCAAGCCTTGGGTTGGTCACCACCACTGCAAAAAAGAAGGGAGAAACAAAAGTCTTGCCTTGCTTTTTAATTCACCAGTGGACTAGATAGAGTAGTTAGAAGCTGGCACACTAAGCCCAGCTCCAATGTGCTGTTGATAAAAGCTGCCTATAAGGATAAGTGAGAGGCTGGAAAAGAAATCCAACAGTTGAACAACACAGAAGGGAATCTGCAGACACAGCTTTCCTGCAGTTCCTGTGTTCACGGTGTATTGGCCTAAAATTTTTTCTTAACAAAAATCAAGTGGACTCACACTTGCTCCATCCATGATCAGCACGGACTTTCTGGGCGAGAGATGAGAAAGATAATACAGAGCGGTGCAGGCTCGGACGCCATCCCGAATGGCTCCAGCGGCTTCCGTCCATGAAACCTTTTCTGGTTTATGAACTATCACAGGGAAGAAGAAACAATTCATTAGTGCCAGCTCTTAGATCCAGTCAGACTCAGCTCTACCGCCATGGACCGCTGACCCTGCTCCACTCTCCTCTATCACTTGAATGTTTCCCTGTTTTTATTCTTCTGCACGGAGAAGCCATTCTGTTATGAGATAAATACACCCAGGAAGCACATACGGCACAGCTTCAGGACCAACTGTAAATCACACAACAAGCAGCGGCCTGTCTGGTTGGCAGTCAGTGTTCCAGCCTGTGCTTCAGAGTCCATCATGTCTGCATTCCTCTGCAGTTCCCAGTTCTGCCCGATTCCGAACCTGGGCTATGCAGAACCACACACTGTGGGTGTGTATATGACACAGAGCGTCTGTAGACTCAGCTCCGCGTTAGATTTTAGACGGGAATTTCCTTGTCCTCATTAGGGAGGCCACAGGGGCGCTTTCACTTTATTCTCTTGTAGAGTGGGCCATGTGGAGATCTTTGCTGGTTTATCCACTTGTTAGCTGAACACTTGCTTACAGGGTTTGGCAGTTAAACGGCACTGCTAAGGATGTCAGGGCATTGCCTCTGGAGAGAGAGAAGCAGGCCCGCAAAGCACCTGCTGCTCAAGAGTCTCCCATGCCAGTGCAGGTGCTGGCTCTTACTGTGACATCATTTGCTTTCCTGACCTCTCCCCTCATGTCTGCCCGCTTTCAGAGTCTTCTTATGAAGTGATTGTTGACATCTTGGGCAAACTTCCTACTTTCTTTATTATTGTTTTATGGGGATTTCTAATGTATTTCAGATGAGTCGTCTATTTATATGCTACAAATATTCTAAGCTGAGTATCCTGCAAAATGCTTGAGACGTGTGTTGAATTTCAGAATATTTGCATACACACAGTGAGCTATGTTGCAGACAGGACAAAATTCCCAATAGAAAATTTATTTGTTTTACATATATTTTATGTATATAGCTTGAAAATAATTTTATTTTATTCTTAAAGATTAATTTATTTCGATTTTGTGAGTATAGGTGTGTCTCCACATACGTCTGTACACCACTTGTGTGCAGTGCCCACAGAGGGCAGAAGAGGGCGCTGGGTCACATGAAACTGGAGTTACAAACAGTTGTGAGTGCCACACAGGTGCTGGGAACCAAACCCAGGTCCTTCAAAAGAGCAGCCAGTGCTATTAATATTAACTTCAGGACCACATCTTTGAAAGTGATTTTATTCAGTATTTTTAGCAGGCCTTCATTTTGTCTGTAACCTGTCATATGCAGGTAGGTGTGGAATTTCTGACTTGTGGCATCAAGCTGGTACTCCCAAGTTTTAGAGTTTAGAGTATTTTTTATTTCAGACTATAGCTGTTCAACATTTCAACTTGATTGCTCTGCTTTTCAATCCCTCTGGTAATGTCTTTAAGAAAGCAGTGCTGGGTGACATTGAGAGCAGCTGACCGGGTGCCATACTCCGATCATAGTACTGGGAAGCTGTACAGAGGGATATGAGTCAAAGACCAGCCTGAGCTACATAGCAAGACCCTGATTCAAAACCAAAACGGGCTGGCAAGATGGCTCAGCAGGTCCTGATGACCTGAATTCAATCCCCCAGAAACCACATGGTAGAGGAGAGAACTGACTTCAGCAAGATCTTCTCTGACCATCATCTCACGTGGACCATGGCATGCATGCACACATATGTACACACCACACACTACATGTAAAAGCAAAACCAAACAATATATAAATAATATTCTAGCACTTCTTTTCTTAAAATCCCAATAATGCCTTTCCATTGCACTTGGGGAAAATGTAAAATCCTGATATAGTTTACAAAGCTTGAAATATGCCTGGGTAGCCAGGTGGTGGTGGCACATGCCTTTACTTCCAGCACTCGGGAGGCAAAGTCTGGCAGATCTCTGTGAGTTCAAGGCCAGCCTGGTCTGCAAAGTCAGTTCCAAGACAGGCTCCAAAGCTACTCAGAGAAACCCTGTCCTGAAAAACGAACAAACAAAAACCTAAATATATATGTCTATGTGTGTACATGTTTACATACATTCATATATATGCATATATATATATATATATATATATATATATATATATCTACAGAGTGAATTCCAGGGAATCTAGGGCTACAAAGTGAAACCCTGTCTCAAAATTAAACAAAAAACCTTCCCCCAAACCCCCTCAAAATGGGATGATAAACTAAAATAAAAATAAAAGTTGTATATTATCTCCCATCAAACTGTTTCTTCAGATTTTGACTAATTCTTGTGTTCAAATAAATGTGGTATTGTCACCCCTACAAGCGATCCTTTCTGATTTGACCTCCCTTTGTGAGTCACGCTTTTCCTGTGACCTGGTCAGAGCAAGCACCAGTGCATTAACAACAGACTAGTGCCACCTAGTGGGCAGATGGAGCATTCACACAATATGGGGAGAATTCCCAAACATAATGAGCTGGGAATGAAACCAAGTACTATCTAGAGTATTTCTTTCTGAAACTCTTCAGGACAAGTATAATCTACATAAGCTTTCATCCTTGGTTCCTGGTCACAACTCCCACCGTCCACTTTATTTTCTAAATGACTATAAGTGTATCTTTCATTAAAGTATTTGGACCTTTTGTTCTTGGTTGCCTGATCAATGCAGGAAAAAGATGGCTTTTATATTTCTGGGGTATGTCAGTTCAGAAGCAAACTCCAGAAAGCCAAGTCCCTCTGCCTTTATGCACTTGACTCTATTGCTGTTTTGGTCTTGGAGTTGGCCTGCCTATAAAACTCTGACACACTTTTCCTGGTAGCAGATATGAAGACCTCCATTTTCTAGTAGGGGTCCTGCCCCACATCCAAGAGGAAGAAACGAGAGAGAGAGAGAGAGAGAGAGAGAGAGAGACAGAGAGAGAGAGAGAGAGCGCTCCTGTGCATATCTTCATCTGTGTTTATTTGTATCCTTTACTCTCCTTTACAGTAAACCTGTTCTTTACAAAATTTAAAATGACACCTTCTATTTTGTGTCAGTGCTTTGCCTGCATGTACGCATATGCTCCGCAGGCATGCCTGGTGCTCTCGGAGGTCAGAGAGGGCGTCAGATGCCCTGGAACTGCAGCTACAGATGGTCGTGAACCACTGTATGGGTGCTGGGAATCGAACCTTGGTCTTCTGCAAGAGCAACATGTGCTCTTAACCACTGTGCCATCCCTATAGCCCCCACCCTCAGCTCACTCAGCCTTCTTACAAATGAGCCTAAAGAGGGAGCCCTGCGGCCCACACTTGTGCCTGCGTCATAACGAAAAGCAGTCTTGTGGGACTGAGCCCTCAGCCGGTGGTACCCATGCCATCTCCAGGAAGACAGCGCCAGGAGCCAAGAGAACTAGGTAGGCATGAAGGACGCCTAGTGTAGAAGCGACTGCTGTGTGGAGAGAGCCCACACTCGGTCGGAAAGATCCATGTTGAGTACAGAGCAGAAGAAATGGACTCTGCTTTTTCTCTTTCATTTTTACCTACCCAATACTATCCCAATTTTGCTGATTATGAAATTGGGTGTGGAATAATAATTGGTTTGCCTAAAGCCTCATAGGTAATAAGGTTGAGTATGTGACCTAAAGTATATCTATCTCTTAAGTTCATCTATACACATTTTACTTGTGTGGCCTATTTGGAGGCAATATTCCCCCCATAACATTTTAGTCTGGCATATTTTATCAACATTTTATTCACTGACATAATCCCAATATTTGGAAGGCTGAAGTAGTAAGAGAATTAAGAATCTGAGACAAGCTTAGGATACACAGTGAGTCTTGTTTGAAAAGAAAAACAAGGGAAGACTCGGAGGAAATGTAAAAGGTGCACATATATAATTCTAACCACACATGCATATGCACACACCATTCGTGCAGTCCTTCAAAAACCATTAAGGGCAATAAAACCATATTTATTTAAGATTTTAAAAATTGGTGTTTCTTTAAGATTTACTTTTATAATTTATGTATGTGCGCACACACATCATGTACCATAGGAGGCCCGAAGAGGGCGAGGTATTCTGTGTTGCTGGAGTGATAGGAACCTGTAGGCTGTAGTGATAGGTATGGGGCTTTGGGATCCGAACCCAGTCCCATGATAGAACAGAGTGCTCTCAGCTCCAGAACCAAGGTTCCACTGCCTGCTCCAGTCTAGCACCTGCATTAGATGCTCACTGCTCGTTATGTTATAAACAAATAAATATGGATCAATGACTGTAGTAATAAGAGGAGCGGGGCTGTGTCCCTGGCACCCCAGCCGCCTGGCTAGCTTATGCCCCGAAATAACAACACACAAACTGTATTCATTTAAACACTGCTTGGCCCTTTAGCTCTAGCCCTTACAGGCTAATTCTCACATCCCGATCAACCCATCTCTAATAATCTGTGAGCACCGGTCTTACCGGGAAAGGTTCAGCATGTCTAACCTGGCGGCTTGCTTCATCGCGTGCGTCTGCGTCTGCCCGGGAGAGCGGACCATGGCGTCTCCCTGAGGTGTCTGCTCCCGAGAGGAGAGCTGTGGAGTCTGAGCTCACTTCCTCTTCCTCCCAGCGTTCTGTTCTGTTTACTCCTCCCACCTATCTTCTAACCAATGAGGGCCAAGCAGTTTCTTTTTATTTAACCAATGACCTTCCTCCATCAAATGACAGCTACACAAACAGAAAAAAATGAACATTATATTTCTTTTTAGTTTTGGCACAGAGAAAATGGTAGAGAAAGATGAAAATGTATGTCCAGTTTTGAATGAAAAAAATAAAAATTATTTTTAAGTTTGTCAGAATGCAAAGCATTGGGGCTCGGGAGATGGCTCAGTGCTAAAATGCACTTGCCATCAAGTCTGGTGACCTGCGGAACCCACACGGCAGGAGAACACTGTCTGACTCCTACAAGTTGTCTTTGGCTGTCACACATGCACCGTGGCATGCCTGTCACCCCTCCGCCCGTATGCACATGCACACAATAAGTAGCTAAATGTTTAAAAAGCAGAAGGACAAAAGAGCTAAACTAGCTGGAGGAGTGTGCAGTCTGTGAAACTATGCACATTTGGGAGCTGACGTGGAACCTCACTCCTGGGGTTGGTGAAAGAACAGAACTTACATGAACCGAAACTGACTGCGTGCCGAGTTCTCAGTAAATAGTCACCAGGCTAAGCATGAACAGAAATTCAAGTTGAATCTGACATTTCCCAATGCAAAGTCTCATTGAAAGCACTAAAGTCATCTTCTGCCCATAAAATAGTAGAGCTGCAAACAGAACATGGTTTCCTAGCTGAGTCTCCTCATTAGTGCATTGTGAATGTGACCAGGATTCTCACCTAAAGGTCACACTGCTGGTGGTCATTTGTCAGTATTTTAAAGAACCATTTTAAAGAATTGTTACCCTACATACTTTGGTACACTTCTGGACTGTAACCCATCTTTCTGCTTTAGACATAAAACCTGTAAACAAAACATCATTTGGATGGTAAACTCTATAGTTAGGATCCTTGTTCCCTTCCTTCTGATCTGTGCTAGCATTCTTCAGTGCTGGGTGGGATGTGGATGACGGCACTGTTCACCTGGCATGCATCAGGCCTCTGGCTTCCACCTCTAGCACCTTACAACAGGCAAGCAGAACCTTTCACTGCTGACTGATGCCCAGCGGGGCTTTGTCTTGTTGCTGTTTATTTTTTAAGCCATTTGGTTGTGAACATGTGCTCATGTATATTTGGGTGGACATACCCGTGCACAAGCAGGTGAGGAGGCCAGAGTTACATGCTGGATGCCTTCTCAATCATTCTCCATCCTATTTTCTGAGATAAGATCTCTCATTGAACTTGGGTGCCCTCTGATTGGTTAGGTTGGCTGGCCAGCAAGTATAGGGATCCTCCTGTCCCTGCCTCCCTCAGCATTGAGGTTATGGGTTGTCAGAACCCAAAAATGTGAACCTATTCCACCTAGTCTAAAGGTCACAGAGTCTGAGCTGATTTTGCCCTCTCAAAGTTAATAAGTGTGGCTACACACCCTGATCTAGGGTGTGGTTACTTAATGTTTTGGACTTTAAGGAAGTCCATAGAGGTAGATCCACTTCACCCTGACCAAAGGTCAAAGAATTTAAGCATATTTTGGCTCCTTCTTTTGAAATAGGAGGTTTGACCTCGGGAGTGGCTGCCTTCAGAATACTTGATCTAGGGTGGGTTCACTGCCAAAATATCAGGAAATAATGGCTTCATGTCTCAAGTGTTGGAGCCAAGTTCTAGTTGTACTTTGTATCATGTTAAAGCCGTCTTTTGCCTTCTTCCCTTGGTGAGGGAGGTCCTTCTGTATATGTGTTGCTTTCATTGGTTAATGAATAAAACTGCTTTGGCCTACAGCAGGGCAGAATAAAGTAAGGCAGGAATTCCACACAGATACAGGTAGAAAGGAGGCCGAGTTAGGGAGATGCCATGTAGCTGCTGCAGGAGACAGATGCTGAATAGAACCTTACAGGTAGGCTACAACCATGTGGTGATACACAGATTAATAGAAATGGGTTAATTTAAAATATAAGAGTTAGCCAGGAATATGCCTAAGCTATAGGCCAGGTAGTGTTGTAATTAATACAGCTTCTGTGTTATTATTTTGGATCTGAGTAGCCAGGAAATGAATGAGCAGCCTCCGCCAACATTCCCCCCTTTTGTATTGGGGTATAAAAGTGCACAAAGACAAAACCGTGGGTGAACTCAATATGGAGATGCACTGAGTTGCCCTCCCAGTACTATCCTGTGTCTATCTCTTCTTCCTGCCTAACATTTCTAATCCTCACGCTCCTATGCTGGAAGATATGAACCCGCCGCCGCTAGGATTGCAGCTAGGATGGTGGCAGAAGTCACCCCACAAAGGTGGTTCCTGACAACAGGTGTCCACCACTGCCTCTGGAGTTTGTGTGACTTCTGGATTCTGAATACAGGTCCTCAGGGTTGTGTGGCAAGCTCTTTACTGAGCCACACCTTTGCTGACTGTCACTCTTTACACTTCAGCTTCTATAGCAAGCATTGTCCTTAATAGTCCTAGCTCCTAAGTGTTCTTCATCTCTTCTAACTGCTTAGGTGATGAACTATCTTGTCATTATTTTCAGGAAGTATGTATGTATTTAGGAAATACCCAATATATAGTTTCTCATGAAAAATAAAACTGAATATTTTTATTAGCAACAGAAACCAAATATAAGCATTCTTAATTCTTTCCTGCCTCAGTTTTGACAAGTACTGTCTGATTTTGTACATTTTTTTTGTTTTAGTTAATAATGAAGAGTTCAATGGTATAGCACTTGCTTAGTAGGTTGGAGGCTCTAACTTCCATCTCTAGCAACAGATACACACACACACACACACACACAACACACACAGACATAACACACGGACACATACATATACAGATATACACACACAAACACACACACATAAACAGATACATACACAGACACACAGAGACACACACACATGCACACACTCAGATCAACAAAGGGCAAGACATTTTCAGATTCTGATTTGAATAAAATTTCAGAGCCACAGGCAATGTTAGTAAACCTCGCAGGTTTACACACATGCTTAGTCTAAACATTAATTTTATAAATAATGTAAGCTACATGTATAGCAGTTATACTACAGGTCAGTGAAATAAGACTGATAAAGTTCCAGATGACTGGACGGCCACATACCTAAGTAATGCTCATGTACTCGAATAACTTCACAGAGTCCAGGGTCTTCTGAATCCAAGGGCAAAATTCCTAAAAATTAAAATGAGAAGTTTAAGGGGGGAAAATGCCCCAAAGGAATTCATTCCCCATGCACTGTGTCCATGTAAACTCTGTCCATCAAGTCACAGGGAAGGGAGCGATGTTGCCGCACCTGTCCTGTCATGAGCACTGGGACACCAGTGACACCTCTTTTCTCTCTCCTGTCACTCCCGAGTGACAGTAAAGACCATGTCCTCTGTCCTACTGCCAGTTTGCAGTGTCGGGGCCCCTGATGTCCCTTCATAGTTTTGTTTCACAGGCTGCCCCGGTGTGACTTCAATAAAGGCCCGTGCTCCTGGAGGCTAGAAAGGTTCTAATTCTGCTCTCTTACAAAAGGAAACTTGGGCAATACAGAGTGTTACTGATTTCTTGGGTGGAAAAGTAAAGGAATAAAATCAGTAGTTCTTGAAAATGCAAGTCAGAGGCCCCGTGAAAGCTGAAGACACCTTCCCACATATCTGATCTTTAATGGCGTTCTCCAAGATCAGTAGGACACTGTCTGTGAAGATGAGGAACAACAATTATAAAAGTGACATTCTACATGTGTTTCATGGCTGTCTGGGACACAAGCATGAACAGGTGTTTATAACATTCTTTCAATAATTATGGATAACAAACTGCAGGGCTGGAGAGATGGATCAGTGGTTAAGAGAACTTGACCTCTTCTAGAGGCCTTGAGCTCAATTCCCAGCATCCACATGGTGACTCACAACCATTTGTAATGGGATTGATGCCCTCTTCTGGTGTTTATGAAGACAGACCATTCATATACATAAAATATAAGAATAAGTAAATCTTAAAAAACAAACTGCCTCAAGTTAATTTTCAGTTTTACAAGAGAAGCAGAGAGCTCTCTAGGGTTCAAACTGGGGTGGAGAACAGAGGTTCTACATGGCCCACTCCATCAGCAATCTTCAAGCCTTGGCCTGTGACTAGAAATTTCAATCTGGCCAAACAGGAGGGACCAAGCAGGCAAGTTGAGCGTCAGGGTGAGCTTGAGGTATGGCCACATTTCTATCTATGTAAAACAACTCTGATAGCTAGATACTTGCAGGCTCTCGGTTTTCTTCAGCAATGATACTTGAGAGCAAGTTTCCAAAGCCTGGAAAATATTTTTATTTTTGAGTGTTAGGATTGAACCTTAGGCCTTGTACATGCTATACCCCAGCCAAATAAAAGCATTTTTATATGAAGTAAGGTCATAATGAACATTAATAATGACACAGAAAAAAAAGATGAGATGACAATGAAACACAGGGCGGGAAACAGGACCCGTGAACTGCAGCTTACCGACCACCTCATCATCCGGGCGAAAGAATGATACCTTGGCGCCAACTGAAGAGCAGAGAAAGGGAAGCATTAACATCACAAAATTACTAAATATAATTACTTCATTTAATTAAACCTCTTTATTTTACTGCGTGTATGGGTATTTTGGCCTTGTGTATATCTGTGTACCTTGTGCATGCTTGGTGCCCATGGAAGCCAGAGAGGGCATTAGATTTCCTGGAACAGTGTTACAGACAGTGTGAATCACCATGTGGATGCTGGGAATCAAACCTGGGTACCCTGGAAGGGCAACCAGTGCTCTCAACCACTGAGCCACTTCTCCAGCCCCCTAAATTTAATTTTTATTTAGCTATTAAAACAAAGGAAAAAGCCAGACAATGAAATCATCCACAAGAGTGTAAAAATCCACTCAGTCCAAGGGTGAAGAACTTGTGGAAGGTGGAGCACTTCAAGTCTCGTTTCTCTTGACAACCTGAGTTACATGGGTGTTGACACTTTCTGTACCACTGCCAATGAGGCTGACTTTCAGGAGACAGGCGCAAAGAAAAACAACACCTTCTGTGGCTTCTGATGGCTGTTCTCTACACCCCCACCGCTTGTGCTAGGCACATCTGTCATCTCGGCCACAATGGGGAATTTCTGTTGGGAGCCGCATGTTACTTTGATGGGGCAGGAGAGATGGCTCAGCAGTTGGGAGCACTTGCTGTTCTTGCAGAGGATTGGATCAGGTTCCCAGTCCCACAAGATGGTTCACACTGTCTGTAACTCCAGTCTGAGGGGATCTGCTGCTCATTCTGTCTTCTATGGATACACACACATCCATGCAGGCCTGCACACAGTGCACACACACATACACACACACACGTTTGTAAATAAAAAAAAACAACAAAAAATTACTCTGACTTGGTGGTAAATAAGTTCTGGTTGGCATCCAGAAAGTTTCTGGAACTTTATTTTTCATTTTATCTATCATTATTTTGTGCATACATGAGTATACGTCATGGCAAACATGGTGGTCAGAGGACAACTTTTGGGAGGTGGTTGCTTTGCAACCAGGGAATGGACTCAGGTTATCAGGCTTGTGTGGTACAGTACTCTTACTGGATGAACCACCTCTTTGGCCTCTGGGAACTTGGACTCCAGCCCCAGATGCGTGTGTGTGCACATACAAGCTCATCTGCCAAAAGTCAACTGCTAAGAATCTTTTCGTTTATTTGTTTGTTTTTTTTCCCCGAGGGAGGGTTTCTTTGTAGCTTTGGGGCCTGTCCTGGAACTAGCTCTTGTAGACCTGGTTGGCCTTGAACTCACAGAGATCTGCCTGCCTCTGCCTTCCAAGTGCTGGGATTAAAGGCGTGCACCACCACTTGAGTATTTTTTTTCTAAGAGCTATAAAATGAAATAGGAAGAAAACAGTCCAATGCTGATGACTGCCTTGTGCTCAGAGTCTTCCTGTAAAGCTTTATAGTAACCTTACAGTATATTTATAGCATTCCTTATAGTATATGAATAATACACCTTACAGTATATTTGTAGCATTCCTTATAGTATATGAATAATACACCTCACAGTATATTTGTAGTATTCCTTATAGTATATGAATAATACACCTCACAGTATATTTGTAGTATTCCTTATAGTATATGAATAATACACCTCACAGTATATTTGTAGTATTCCTTATAGTATATGAATAATACACCTTACAGTATATTTGTAGTATTCCTTATAGTATATGAATAATACACCTTACAGTATATTTGTAGTATTCCTTATAGTATATGAATAATACACCTTACAGTATATTTGTAGTATTCCTTATAGTATATGAATAATACACCTTACAGTATATTTGTAGTATTCCTTATAGTATATGAATAATACACCTTACAGTATATTTGTAGTATTCCTTATAGTATATGAATAATACACCTTACAGTATATTTGTAGTATTCCTTATAGTATATGAATAATACACCTTACAGTATATTTGTAGTATTCCTTATAGTATATGAATAATACACCTTACAGTATATTTATAGTATTCCTTATAGTATATGAATAATACACCTTACAGTATATTTATAGCATTCCTATAGTATATGAATAATATACCTTACAGTATATTTATAGTATTCCTTATAGTATATGAATAATATACCTTACAGTATATTTATAGCATTCCTTATAGTATATGAATAATATATCTTACAGTACATTTATAGCATTCCTTATAGTATATGAATAATACACCTTACAGTATATTTATAGTATTCCTTATAGTATATGAATAATACACCTTACAGTATATTTATAGTATTCCTTACAGCATATTTATAGTACACCTTACAGTATATTTATAGTACACCTCACAGTATATTTACAGTATACCTTACAGAATATCTTACAGTGTATGTGACCCCAAATCTCATCTTTTGGTACTCAGCAAGTAACTCTAAGTATGCAATCTGTTCTCCCTCTTGCTTGCTTTCTCTGGGGACCTTCCTGTGCCATTACCTCCAGTTCTGGCTCTGACTCTCTGAGCTTTTCCTCCTGTTTCCGGGTGGTTTATGTTCTCCTGGGATTACCTGGCTGCTTCTCCTGGCTTCTTTCACACTCTTCATTTCACTATCCCTCAAACACGGGTATTCCAGAGGTTCCTTCTTAGGTCTACAGGCTCCCTGGCTCGTCAACTCTGATTTGTGTTCTGTTTCTCTACACACTACCTGTACAGCACTGCTAACCCCAGCAGCTGTCTACTAGACATGACAACTGAGAAACCATTTTCCTTTCTGGAACTCAACCAGTGCAGGCCTGAACTTGTCACAATGATGTCGCTCACAGCTCTCACCTTTTCTCATTCCCCACGGCTGATCAACTATTAATGCCTGCTGACTTCATTTCCTCAATTTTCCTCGGTCAGTCCTTCTGCTCTGCCCTCACTGCCCAGCTTATGGACAGTTACCTCTCGTGTGCTGGTCTATTACCCTCCCAGTCCTCTTGTCAGGAGCAGGTTTGCTTGAATCCACTCTCTAAGAGCCACCCTAACAATCTCATTTGTAATGCTCACCAAGAGTCCGGTTGGCTTTGGTCAACCCTCCTGTTTGTTTCTTTCTGAGAACAAGTCTGTGTTCATTCATTCTTTGTTCACTATCTTTTATTCTCTTCTATTTAAAGAATACTTTTCCTTTTTATTTTTCTGCCATCTGTAAGGGCAGAACCCATGGCCTTGAGCATGCTAGGCAAGCACACTCCCACTGAGCCACACACTCGGCCCCAACACTATCCCTTTGTATAGTGTTTATAAACAAGTCCAACTTACTATGTGAGTCAGCTGTAGACCAAAATGTATACAACATCAGCAACCATGTTAAATGAAGTTTTCCAAGTCTGCTTTACATCAGGCATTTAACAGTGGAGTGGTTCACTCATCTAAAACCAGAACTGTCGTTTCAAGGAGAAGTAACCAGTAAAACCTTTTTGATTACCCTAAAGTATTTTTTTTAAGTAAATAATGATTTTTAGCATATAGAACAGGAACCCTATGTATCTGAAAACTTTATTTCTAGAGCTAGCCAATATTCACTGACAGGTATTCACGATCAAATGTGTCTGCCCTTAGTGCACATGCATACATGACTGGTGTGTGTCTGCTCTTAGTGCACATACATACATGACTGGTGTGTGTCTGCTCTTAGTGCACATACATACATGACTGGTGTGTGTCTGCTCTTAGTGCACATACATACATGACTGGTGTGTGTCTGCTCTTAGTGCACATACATACATGACTGGTGTGTGTCTGCCCTTAGTGCACATACATACATGACTGGTGTGTGTCTGCCTTTAGTGCACATACATACATGACTGGTGTGTGTCTGCCCTTAGTGCACATACATACATGACTGGTGTGTGTCTGCTCTTAGTGCACATACATACATGACTGGTGTGTGTCTGCTCTTAGTGCACATACATACGACTGGTGTGTGTCTGCTCTTAGTGCACATACATACATGACTGGTGTGTGTCTGCTCTTAGTGCACATACTAAGAATGTTAACAAATATGGGGTCAGCCATCCTTGAATTCTACTTATGATTTTAATTATAATACAAATGATACTCTTTCAGTTATCTGAATGATCATTTTATCCTCCTTTAATCTACCCAGACTGTAGGAAAAAGTCTAATTAGATGACCATTAAATTCATTCACTGCTTAGTAAGCATGTATTTACCCATTATACATTTAATAAGACAATGTCTGTCCTCAGAGTTATCAATAAGAAAAACAGATACAAAAATAAGTAGATCATGATAAACACTTTAAGGAAAGCCAGGCTCTGGGATTTAGCTGCCACATCACAAAAACAAAAAGGACAAAATTGGTCATTTTAGTCAATATAATTACATATGAATTAATAACTAAATATTTTCTGAAGTATAAGTTCTTAGAAGCTTAATCTGTTTTAATTTTTAAAAATAAATTTTAATTAATTTATAGCTAGGCATGGTGGCACACACCATTAATCCCAGCACTCAGGTGGCAGAGGCAGGTGGATCTCTGTGAGTTCAAGGCCAGTCTGGTCTACAGAAAGAGTTCCAGGACAGCCAGGCTACACAGAGAAACCCTGTCTCAAAAAGCAAAACAAAATAAATTATAAGACATTATTTTATGTATTGGTAACTTTATTAGCTATTATTAAATTTCTTTTACTATAGAAAATATACATGATACTTACCATCTAATACAATTCCAGCAACTTCTCTTCCAACAGGAAAGAAATCTTTTTCCATCTTCATTTCTGCCAGAAGCTAAATCATGACAGAAGCTATTAGCCATTTATCAGTCAAGAATAAATTCTGAACTTACATGGTAACGCAATACTATGATCCCAACACTTGCCTCAACCCCAGCATGCAGGAAGACAGAGGCCAGTCTGAGCAACACAGCGAGTTCTCATGGCTAGCCTGAGCTGCACAGAGAGATTGTGGGTCAAAGACCAAACGAAACCAACAATGACAAACAAGCCAACTGACCCACCAGTGGAAAAACAAAACAATAAAAACCATCTCTGACTTATGGGAAAGTGGGGACAACAGCAACAACATACTCCTGCCACAGAAACAGCAAACAACTCCCCAGACCCTTCTTCCAGAGTGGGAGCCATGTGGCTGAGGCGTCTGACACAGGGCTGAGGTCTGGGTGTCATCGCTCAAACCACCAGGACATCTTAACTTTTTCTCTGCCAAGATGAAGGGAAGTTATGCCCTGAACAAATCCCCTTGGCTAAATCCTGCTTCCCAGTCACCTATTCAAGTGAGGTGGGGGGGGGGTGCCGAGAGCTCTGCAGAGCAGGGAGGTGTGGCGAGATACACACACACACAGACACACAGACACACAGACACACACACACACACACACACACACACACACAGAGCGAGAGAGCGAGAAAGCGCACTGCAGAACAGGGAGGTATGGAGAGAGAGAGAGAGAGCGCACTGCAGAACAGGAAGATGTGGTGACACACATGCGCGCGCACACACACACACACACACACACACACACACACAGAGCACGAGCACTGCAGAACAGGGGGGTGTGGTAAGAGAGAAAGAGAGAGAGAAAAAGAGAGAGAGCACTGCAGAACAGGAAGGTGTGGCGACACGCACACACACACACACACACACACACACAGCACGAGCACTGCAGAACAGGGGGGTGTGGTAAGAGAGAAAGAGAGAGAGAGCACTGCAGAACAGGAAGGTGTGGCGACACACATGCACACACACACACACACACACACACACACATAGAGCACGAGCACTGCAGAACGGGGTGTGGTAGGAGAGAGAGAGAGAGAGAGAGAGAGAGAGAGAGAGAGAGAGAGAGAGATCACTGCAGAACAGGAGGTGTGGCCAAGCCCCACACCCTTTAAGGATCACATGGGCTGGGCTAGGGATGTAGCCTAGTGGGTAAGGCTTGCCTAGCATGCAGAAAGCCCTGAGTTCCACCCTACACCACACAAAAACCAGGTATGGTGGCACAAATGGCAATCCTAGCACTTAAGAGGTGGAGGCAGGAGGGTCAGAATCTTATGTTAAGGTCAGTCTGGGTATGTAAGTGAGATTCTGTCTTAAAAAAAAGTCACCTGGATTTCTACCCGGGTCTTGGGTTAGCAAGCAGAGGGAAAGGTGGTGGTATAAGGATCTCAGACTTATTTGGCGAGTGCAGGCTTTTTTGAGTTGCATGAGTGTTTTGCCTGCACATGTGTAAAAGCACCACATGAGTGCCTGGTGCCTTACAAAGGTCGGGGTTAGGGTTGGATGCCCTGAAACTGGAGTTACAGATGGTGGGGCTGCCATGTGGGTGCTGGGAACCAAACCCAGGTCCTCTACAAAGGCAACAGATACTCTTAACTGCTGAACCAACTTTCCAAGCTGCTACTATTTTTCAATTTAAAATCTAACAAAAAAAGAATGGGGGCTGGAGAGATGGCTCAGTGGTTAAGAGCGTTGGCTGTTCTTCCTGAGGTCCAGCAACCACATGGTGGCTCAAACCATCCATCTATAATGAGATCTGGCTCCCTCTTCTGGCGTGCGGGCATACATAGAGGCAGAATGCTGTATAAATAAATACATAAATCTTAAAAAAAAAAGAAGCCCTCTTATATGTATACTGCTTTTCCAAAAATTTCTCTTTTAGTGTGGAACTTCACACTTTCCCTAGGATGTCCATATGACTTTGTTATGGAAACACTGGGGATTTACCCCTCACCTATGTGTGTCTGTGTGGTAGTCCTGGAGACTGACCAGGGCCTTGAGCATGCTCAGGAGGTACTCTGTCTTTTACTTTCCTTTATGCCCATTTAGTTATAACTGTGGCTTTAACAATTGCATCTTTCATTTACATATGCATTTTCTTACATTAATGTACTGTCTTCATAACCATCGTGCTTAATGGTACCTAATAATTCATTTTTGTTTTCATTTTCCAACATAAGGTTTCTCTGTGTAGCCTTCGTATCCTGGAACTCACTTTGTAGACCAGTTTGGTCTCAAACTCATGGAGATCTGCCTGCCTCTGCTGGGATTAAAGGTGTGAGCCACCACCGCCTGGCTGCTACAGTTCATTTAACTATTTGTCATTTCTTCCTGTCTGTGGTAGAGGGCTTGCCTAGCATTCACAAGGCCTGGGTTCAAACCCCCAACACCACCCATGACCAGAATCTATGTGAATCCTATACAGTTTAACAGTAACTGACTGGACAGCATGTCTACTGAGCAGGAACACATTAGATATCACCCAACTGTAGGCATGGACATCTAAAATGTGCACCAAATCAGTCGTCTTGTCTGCATCCTTCCTGCCGCATACTGAACTGGCTCTTCCCACCCTGATCCCAATGTGACTGTGTTTGGAGATAGAGACTTTAAGAATGAACTAACATTAAATGAAGTTGGGAGGGGAGACTCCTAATCCAGCAGGACTGGGACCAAGGACAACAATGACACCAGGAGCAGGCACACAGAGAAAAGCCAGGTGAGCAAGGAAGTCATTTGAAAACCCTGAATTATAGACCTGAGGCCAGCCTGCTGCACACTGACTTTTCTTGGACTTTTACCCTTCAAATCTGAGATATAGTTTCAGTTGTTCAAGTCAAAAGATCAAACAAAAACCACAATCAAACAAACATCAACAAAACTCCCAAAACAAAAACAGAAGAAAAATCTGAATCTGAGGAACACACCTATAATCCAGTTCCTGGAGACTGAGATATGAGGACCATGGCCAGCCTGGGCTACAGAGTAAGGCCAGCCTGGTGACACAGTGAGAACCTGTCTCACGACAAGACCTGAAAATACTTATCATGGCAATTTAATATTTATTTATCACTATTAACTATTTATTTACCATTTAAAGCCTGTTGTTGTTGTTTAAGACACTGTGGGGCCCTGGCTGACTTGGAACCAGCTATGGGACCAGACCTGCCTCAAACTCTCAGAGGCCTCTGCCTCCTGGGTGCTGGGCTTATGTGTCACTGTGCCTGGGACAAAGGCACTTTTTTTTTTTTTTTTGCTTTTTGAGATAAGATTTCTCTATGTAGCGCTGGCTGTCCTGAAACTCACTCTGTAGACCAGGCTGGCCTCAAACTCAGAGATCCACCTGCCTCTGTCACTTGGGTGCTGGGATTAAAGGTGTGCACCACCATTGGACTGGAGATATATGCTTATGAGACAGATAAGAATACCAAGAATATAAATCTTATCTAAAAAATGTGAACTAGAAATACATACAATTCAGTAGTTGATACACTATTTTTAGTTTCTATTTTTATTATAGTTATAAAAGTAATTTCTTTCTTGACCGATAGGACTTGATAAATATAAATTCTTAGGCTCTTTCAAAATAAATTTATAAAATATTTCCACATAATCATGTAAAACACAAATCAGACCATTCATTCACCCTAATGTAAAAATATACAAGGAAGAAGAGGCAGAGGCAGGCAGATTTCAGTAGTAAATTCAAGACCAGCTTGGTTTACAAAGAGAGTCCAGGACAGTTAGGACCATTACACAGAAAAACACTGTCTTGAAAAACAAAACAAAGAAACATACATATATACACACATGCACGCACACACACTTATATATTTATTTTTTCTTGCTCAGTTTTTCTAGGGAAAATAATTTCTTGTACTCAGAAATCAATTTCCACTATACATTATGTATACTCTGAAATTCTCTTTTGTATTCCAGCCACAATAAAAGCATCAATACCTTTGTGTTTATTGGGCTCAGAGCACAGGCCTTAACTTGAAGTTTCACAAAGTTATCGTCTGTAACAGGAAGATTCTCCTAGAATCAAATAAAAAGACCATGCGTTACACATTCCTCTGAGAGTGTTCATTAGTGAAAATGTCTATATATAACTGAAAAAATTAAACTGATGGCAAATCTTATGATTATCCTAAGTTTAAAAGGTAAAACCAATTATCTACTAGTATATGATAAAAAGGAGAAAACCAGTAATACAGTTTTTTTTTTTTTTTTTTTTTTTGGTTTTTCGAGACAGGGTTTCTCTGTGGTTTTGGAGCCTGTCCTGGAACTAGCTCTTGTAGACCAGGCTGGTCTCGAACTCACAGAGATCCGCCTGCCTCTGCCTCCCGAGTGCTGGGATTAAAGGCGTGCGCCACCACCGCCCGGCTAGTAATACAGTTTTAAAAAGCTTTCGTATCATTATTTTAAAAGTCCTCAAAGACCCACGTGGATGAAACAGAAACAAACAGCTTCACAGCATAGATTGACAAGGATTGTCTTTTAACCTGAATAATTAAAAACTGTCAGATCTTTACAGGACATATGACAAACAGCCTTTACTAAAAGCTGGAGTTTCCTCATGCTAGGAATGAAATCCGGCAATGTTGCTTGTTCATCCGTTTCTAGTATCTACTCCACAAGCCCCAGCAGAGCCCACAGTACTTTGCTACCAAAGCATTAACATCATGGGATTTAACTACCTCCTATACTCTAGCTGTATAAAGAAAGTGACAAAGGCAAAAAATACTCCCACCTGGAACACTCAGAGTCACCCAGCTATTAAATACAATATCACTTCTAGGCAGGTGGTGGTGGCGCACATCTTTAATTCCAGTACTTGGGATGCAGAGGCAGGCAGATCTCTGTGAGTTCGAGGCCAGCCTGGTCTACAGAGAGAGTTCCAGGACAGCCAGGGCTACACAGAAAAACCCGTTTCAAAAAAACAAAATAAAACAAAAAAACCAAAAACCAAACGAAATGAAAGAAACCCCTCCAGTCTCCCAGATACCCACATTCTGGACCATGAACTGAACTACGTCCCTCAGTGATACTTGGACGGCTCTTGCACACCACCCCCATCCCAGGGATCACTATGTTTTAGTTGCCACACACAACATCTGGGAGCATCTTTACTAAATCTTGGATCTGTTGTTCAGCGATACGGATGAAGACAGTGATATTGATGGATTTGTTAATTATACCTAGAGACAAGTTTTACTGCGATGCGTTCAAACCTTAGAATCTTTTCCTGACTCAGGTAGGGGTAGACCTTAGACTCCTGATCTAAACCACTCTGGAGTTAAGGGAAGATCCAGAGAGTTATCCCCGAGGAAAGATGATAGGGTGCGGCACCCACTTTCACCCTAAAGCCCACAGTGCAAACCTTTCTCATAGTCACCACTAAGTCACCAAAAGCTTAACAAGTGACCTAAGTTTAAGAAGCGCCTAAATTTGTGTAGGAAACAAAGGTTTCTGTCTCTCCCACAAAACAGCTCTTCCTACCACAAGGTTACGGTCTGAACACTTTTTCTCTTACAGTGCTCGCAGTGAGTTTTCTCTGCTGCTGGTCCGTTTTCTAACACACAGGCTTGGTGCTTGCTCTGTCTTCAAGGACCTTTCACAGCACAACCAATATAGTAACTCCTTTAAAAGGTACTTTATTTTTTAAAAAATTATGTGTATATGTAAATGTGGGTTTGTGCATCTGAGTGCAGTGCCATGGAGGCCAGAGGGGGCATTGACTCCTCTGTGGCATGAGCACTGGGAACCAAACCTGAGTCCTGGGCAGGACCAGGCTGTGCTCGGAACTGCTGACCATGTCCCAGCCCCTGTGGCAGCTCTTCTAAACGACAGTTACACTATAGTGCGAGCCACCATTTTCACACAAAGTCAAGGGAAAGGATCACGAGGGGAAGTGGCTTAAGCTTTTGCTCACTTAGGCCTACTTAAAATAACTAGAAACACATGTAAGTGAGTCTGGCATCCATAGATGGCTCCAGCAGGTAAAGGTACTTGCTCTACAAGCCTGGTGATCTGAGTTTGGTTCCTGGAACTCATGTGAAAGTAAGACAGTAAGAGAATTATTAAAAACAATTATCCTCTGACTTCCATGTGTGTGTTGGGGGATGTGCACCCCCCTGCTATGGGATAATGTTCTTGTACACTGTAAAGATTTGTCACTCATATTAGTTTAATAAGATGTTGATTGGCAGGTAGCCAGGCAGTAAGTATAGGCGGCGCGATCAGACTATGAGAATTCTGGGAAGAGGAAAGGCAGAGAGTCAGTCACCTGTCAGACACAGAGGAAGCAAGACGAGAATGCCTCACAGAGAAAAGGTACCAAGTCACACGGCTAAACATAGTTAAGAATTATGGGTTAATTTAAGTTGTAAGAGCTAGTTAATAATAAGCCTGAGCTAATAAACCAAACAGTTTATAATTAATATAAGCCTCTATGTGTTTCTTTGGGAATGAATAGCTGTGGGACTAGGAAGGACAGAAACTTCTGTCTACACCTTCCCCTATCTCTCTCTCATACACACACACACACCCCTTTAAAAGTGCATTATTACTGTAATGGTTAGTGCCAACAGCGTTAACTAGACGACATGTAGAATCACTTGGGAGACCAGCCTGTGAGTATGCCTGTGGAGATTATCTTAACAGCATTTCAAGAGATGAAAAGACAACACACGGTAGGTGACACCATTCCATGACTGTGTCCTTGTCTGGGACTGAGAAAGGGAGCTGGACAGCAGCATGCATTCATCCCTTGCTCTCTAATACAATGTGTCAAGCTGCCTCCCCCACTGCTGTGACTTCCCTGTTAGGGCAGACTCTAACCTGGACCTGAGAGCTAATAAGTCCTTTCTCCCATAAGCTGCTTTTGCCTGAGCATTTTATCATAGCAGCCAAAACCGAACAAAGGCAATACCCATGGAAAGACATTATTTTGTCCCATTTATTGATTAAAAAATTTATTCTTACCCTTTCTTGAAATAGAAAAGTTATTTCTTCATTTGTAGAACTCTGTTGAAAATACAAGCCCTTCATAGTTGCCTATAACAAACAAAAATATAAGTTAAAAAAAAAACCAGTCTTCTTGAGTACTAAAGACTGCTCAGTGGTTAGGAGAACTTACTGCTCTTTCAGGGGACTCAGGTTCAGTTCCCAGCACCCATACAGTAGTCCACAACTACCTTTAACTCTAGTTATAGGATATCTGAGGCCTTCTTCTGGCCTCCTTGGGTACTAGGCATATACCTGGTATACAGAAATATATGCAGGCAAAACAGCTATACACATAAAGTAAAAATTTAAACAAGTTTTAAAAATGAAAATAAGTGAATAAAGTTTATTTATCAAATGAAAATAAATGGGAAAAACTGTCCAAATAAGGAGAAAAAGCAAGTATAAATGTAACCCTCAAGCAAGTAGGCTCAGAAGAAGTATAGTTCTTCTTCCATAAAACAAACAGGAGGCCCCATCAGAAGTGCTAGTACATTCCTGGGATCCCAGCACCATGGTGGGAAGGGCTGGGTGATGCTGAGTTAAAGGCCAACCCGGGATACACTACCTCACAAACAGAGGGGAGATAGAGTTTGACAGCCATGGACTAGGAGGACTAGTGTCATGGGTGTTTTCTGAAGGGATGGGTTCTAGGCACGGGAGCACACTCTGTATCCTTCATTCAGTAGGCCTAGGGAGAACTGCAAGCTTGAAGCTAGCCTGGGTTAGACTGTCAGACTTTGTCTAAAAAGGAAAAAAAAGTGGGGAGGGGGATTTCACTTTCCTATTCAATAACAAATACTATACATATTTAAAACAGACCAACAAAAAGGTTTTGCAATGGCTAGACAGGCAGCCAGAAACGTTTAAAGGGAACTGTAAGATGCTTTCTGCCATTTACAAAGAGAGTGTGCAAAGCACAGCCAAAAGCGCCATCTCCACTCTTCTGTGGCAGCCTTGACCCCAAACTCAGGCTCCTTCTGCCTTAGCCCCCGAAGGTTTGGATTACAGGGGTATGTTATCATGTCCAAATCCTATAAGCCTTTTTAGTTTTTTATTTTTTAATTAAGTTTTTAAAGAGTTATTTATTTTATGTGTATGAGTGTTTTGGTTGCAAATATGTACGTGTACCGTGTTTGCGTCTTGTGCCTGAGGAGACTAGTAAGGAATTCCCTGGAAGTGGAGTTACCAAACAGGGTCCTCTGAAAGAGCAGCCAGTGCTCTTAACTGCAGAGTCATCTCTACAGTTCCCCTTTTTAATAAAAAAAAAAATTGTTTTTAGTTTCAGTATATGTTGTGGTACATATTTCTGTGTCAGGATGGTGTGCACATGTGTGCATGCACTTGGGGGCCAGAGGCTGACACTGGTGTTTTCCTCTTTCCATCTTTTGGAGACAGGGTCTCACTACAAAGCTTTAGCTGGCTTTGAACTCACTATGTAGACCTGACTGGCTCTGAAATCAGAGATCCACTTGCTTCTGCTCCATTCACGAGTACTGGATTAAAGGTTTGAGCTCTCATGTCCAGCTACCTTATCTTTTTCATCTAGACTGAATGGCCAATGAATACCCTATGCTGAGTGGTTTCATGCCAATTTACACAAGCTAAAGTCATTGGAGAGGACGGAATCTCAAATAAGAAATTGCTTCTGCCACCTGTAATCCCAGCACTCAGGAGGCAGAGACAGGTGGATCTCTGTGAGTTTGAAGCCAGCTTGTTCTAAAGAGGGAGTTCTAGGACAGGCTCCAAAGCTACAGAGAAACCCTGTCTCGAAAAGTCAACAAAACAAAACAAAACAAAAGCCTTGCTTCTGGCCTACAAGTACAGCAAAGTATCATTAGGACTTGATGTGCCATGTTTGGTTGATGTCCCTGGGATGCTTGTCCTTTTTCTGAAGGGAAACAGAGGAGGAGTAGATCTGGGGGGCAGTGAACAGGAGGGGAACTGAGGTTGGGATATAATATATGAGAAAAAAAAGGAATTGCTTCCATAATATGAGGCTGTAGGCAAAATCATATGGCATTTTCTTAATTAGTGATTGATGTGACCAGCCAGATGGTGGGTGGTGCAATTCCTAGGCTGGTAATCCTGGAATCTTTAGGAAAGCAGGTTGAGCAATCCAGGGGGAGCAAGACAGCAAGGAACACCCTCCATGGCCTCTGTATCAGCTCCTGCCTCCAGGTTGCAGTTCTGCTTGAGTTCCTGTCCTTAGTGCTTTTGATGATGAGCTTTTATATGAAACCATGAGTGAAATAAACCCTTCCCTCCCCAGCTTGCTTTCGGTCATGGCGTTTCATCACAGCAAGAGTGACCATGACAGAGACACCCCCTTAGACCCTCATGTCTCCATCTTCCTGGTGCTGGAAAGGTCTGGTGGCTATGTCTAGCTTGTTTACATGGGTGTTGTGGACCCAAACTCAGGTCTTCATACTTGTAACAGCACTTCACCCCTGACAAAACCCCCCTCTTGTGGTTGTGGTTTGTGTATGCATATTTGCACGTGTGTGTGTGTGTGTGTGTGTGAGGCCAGAGGCTGACATTGGGTATCTTCTCAATGGTTATCTTGTATACTGAGACCAGGTCTCTCACTCGAATCCAGAGCGCATCTGCTGACTTGGCCTAGACAGTTAGCTTGCTCTGGGATTCAGGTCAGCTCCATTCTGTGAGTGTTAGGGCCCCACAGTCCAGTCCTCACCCTTGGACGGCAAAGGGTTCCACAGGTTTGTGTCCTATAGCGTCTCTGAGGGTTCTTTTCCTTTCTCTGTCTGTTTCTTTCTTTGAACTCTACATCCCAAGTGGGCCGAGAACCCACTAGGTAGCCCAGGTTGGCCTTGAATTCCCAGTAATTCTAATTCCTTGGCTTCTAGTGTGTAGAGTTCCAGGTGTGAGGCACTATGCACAGACTGTTTACTTCCCAGGGTAAACTTTACAGAAATGTACGCACATAGAGAAGTGCATGTAGACCGTTAGGGTAGTTCCCTCCAATCAGAAGAAACATGCTCACAACCTGGCAGGAGCCACAGCCAGAACTTTGGAAGCTCCACACACCTGTCGGGTTAGGACCTTCCTTCCCCTGCCCAAGGATATGAAAACAGCCGGAATTCTAACAGATAGAGTAGCTCTTTTTGAAGTACACAGAGCCTATTGCTTTACATTTAGTCAATCTCCCCACGTGATGTCTGTGGGCCTTACGCACACTGCTGCTGATAGCTGCGGTCTAGCTTTCTTGCTGTTCCATATCTCTTCATTGGGAGGATGCTTCCAGCTCCAGGTGGGAAGTTTCCAGCTTGGGCTCTTACAAATGGCCAAGGTCAGAACACTTCTGTATCTACTTGTTGCATGTATTATATGGACGAGGAAACTGAACTCACCCCATCCACTTAGGGAGGCACCACAGTACCAGCTGGGCTGGAGCCTCGACAATCATTGCTCTGAACTGTCCCAGGCTTTAATGGTTTTGCTTGAGCTGCTGACACGCTACACCCACCCAGAATTACCTGTGAACTATCCTGTGGGACTGTCTATTCAGTGCTGCTGACACGCTACATCCACCCAGAACTACCTGTGAACTATCCTGTGTGCTGTCTATTCAGTGTTTGCTGATAGGTCTTGTTTTATTCGGCAGGTCCCAAAGCTAAACAAAACAAAGCCCCCAAACAACAACAAAAAAGTGGTTACCTCATCTAAAAATTACTAGAATTTCCAAGTTGGCGATATCAGACTATCAAGCCAATCATAGGTCCTTACAAGAAGAGGTCCAGGGACCTGAACAGATCTCATGCTCTGAATGTTAGGACACCTAATGATCTCTATAAAATGATCTAAATGATCTCTATAAAAGAGATGTATAGAGTAGCTGAGTAATGAGAGAAACAAACACAGAAACTACCTACAAACATTTAAGACATGAAGTTACGTATCAGGTATCAACAGTGCAGAAAACGGTGAAAACATGGCTCTAGAAGGCCCTTATCAACATCAGTGTGTGTTGGGGAATATTATTTGAAGATGTGTTGCTTTTGTTTATGCTGCATCTGTTTACCTCTGTGAAGCTGTGATTCTTTTCCTGTCTTAAAACACCTGATGGTCTAATAAAGAGCTGAATGGCCAATAGCGAGGCAGGAGAAAGGATAGGTGGGGCTGGCAGGCAGAGAGAATAAATAGAAGAGGTGCTAGGAGAGAAGGAGAGGAGACAGGGACAGCCACCCCCTGGAGTAAGAGTGAAAGTAAGATATACAGAAAAAAAAGAAAAAAAGCCCAGAGGCAAAAGGTAGTCAGGGATAATTTAAGCTAAGGAAAGCTGGCTAGAAATAAGCCAAACTAAGGCGGGGTAATAAGCCTCCATGTGTGATTTATTTGAGAGCTGGGTGGAAGGCCTGTCAAAAAGCCAAAAATGTACGTAGCAAAAACAACCAACAAGTGTGTGTGTGTAGGACTGTGGAAGGGGAGGAAGAACCTGAACACAGCATGCATTTCCCACATCACCTATTTCGGCTTCTGCCTGGCTTTCTAGGCTCTCTAAATGCAGATGGCTCTTCTGAGTCTACCTTATTCCACCCACAATGTTCAGCACAAACTTGTCTGATCACATCAGTGACTTAACATACATCTATGCTAGCGGAGGCTTTCTAGGCACAGCCGGTTCCTAGAGAGCATGCTGCACTGGCCCACCAATGCTGCTGGCTAAATCAAGTCCAAATCCAGTGCTCTCCTCTGGAAAGGCTCATGCATTCCATCTGCTCCACACTTTACTGTATATTACTTGCTAATGAGCGAGCTTTCCCAGCTACTGCTTGGATGCATCAATTCCTTCCCCACTCTTTGGCCTATTTGTCTTTTTGTTTTTTCGAGACAGGGTTTCTCTGTACTGGAACTCACTCTGTAGACCAGGTTGGCCTCGAACTCAGATATTCACCTGCCTCTGCCTCCCAAGTGCTGAGATTAAAGGTGTGCGCCACCACTGCCCAGCATGGCTTGTTTTGAGGCGGGGTCTTGATTTGTAACCTAACCTGGCCCTGGAGCTCTGGATTCTCCTGGCTGCTGCCTGTGTA